GGCCGATATAGCATTTAGAGTTCTAGAAGCCGACTCGGGATACTACGCGTTCTACTACGACCTAGGAGTATTATACTAGTAATACTAAGGTTCTAAGTACCCTAGTACTATATTTAGTACTTAGCTTTTATCTAAATTAGCTAGGGGTTCTAAGTAATTCGATTAAAATCTCTAGGTAAAGAAATAAAGGGTCTCGGAGACGATAGTATTATTTCTACGTTCTAAGTACGCAATCGGGTAGTGGGGTATAGTTCTACTACTAGATCTAGTACTAAGTGCCTATAGAAATAAGTCGGAAATTCTAGGATATTAGTCCTTACTATCTAGTAAGGTTAATAGATAGGGTAGGACCGGAGAGATTTATTTAAAGTATCTACGATATTAGAACGGCGGAATTAGTCGTATAGGGTTAAGGCTAAGTACTGAAAGTCTAATCTAGTATACTACTAGGGCACTTATACTATTTTCCTTAATAGAAATTTACTATCTAAGTACCCTAAACGATTCTAAAATTATTCCGGAAATATCTTTTACCGGATTGTCCGCCCGAGCGACCTAGACCGCTTACTAAGGGCGACAGGGTTAGGGATAAGTTTTAAAACCTTAATTTTAGTATACTATTAGAGCACTTATACTATTCTCCCTAATAGAAACTTACTATCTAAGTACCCTAACCGATTCCAAAATTATTCCGGAAACATCTTTTACCGGATTGTCCGCCCGAGCGACCTAGACCGCTTACTAAGGGCGATAGGGTTAGGGATAGATTTAGAAACTATAATCGAGTATACTATTAGAGCTATCCTATTATTTTACTTACTAGTAACCTACGATCTAGGCCTAGTAAGTCGATTTTAAAATTATTCCCGAAACATCTTTTACCGGATTGTCTACCCGAGCGACCTAGACCCTAGAGCCAAATATTCTAGTATTACAAATTACAATGTTCGCGTATATAGCGTAGGCGCGGCCGTACGTTACTTAAATCTTAAATAGGGACATCAAAATATTTGCATTAGAATATTTGAGGTTCTAGCTAGTATTAGCTAGTTTTCTCGACTATTCTAGGTCGTATTAGATTCTATTAGGTCGAATTTATATAAAAAGTATAAATAAGTATAAGGCTTACGTAGATATCGGGGGTATTACGGCCGATATAGTATTTAGAGTTCTAGAAGCCGACTCGGGGTACTACGCGTTCTACTACGACCTAGGAGTATTATACTAGTAATACTAAGGTTCTAAGTACCCTAGTACTATATTTAGTACTTAGCTTTTATCTAAATTAGCTAGGGGTTCTAAGTAATTCGATTAAAATCTCTAGGTAAAGAAATAAAGGGTCTTAGAGACGATAGTATTATTTCTACGTTCTAAGTACGCAATCGGGTAGTAGGGTATAGTTCTACTACTAGATCTAGTACTAAGTGCCTATAGAAATAAGTCGGAAATTCTAGGATATTAGTCCTTACTATCTAGTAAGGTTAATAGATAGGGTAGGACCGGAGAGATTTATTTAAAGTATCTACGATATTAGAACGGCGGAATTAGTCGTATAGGGTTAAGGCTAAGTACTAAAAGTTTAATCTAGTATACTACTAGGGCACTTATACTATTTTCCTTAATAGAAACTTACTATCTAAGTACCCTAAACGATTCTAAAATTATTCCGGAAAGTTAAGCAGCACTATAGCTTAAGAAAGCTGTTGAAGACAACCTTATTAGATCCTACCTGTTCAATCTTGTCCTATAGCGCTCGTGCCATGCCAAAATAGCATATTTCGTCTTACCTTAAACATCATCTCAACTTACACTGAACAAGACACGAGGCATGAAAACATTTGCGCTAACGAAACCACAGAGTAACGTACGGCAGTCCGAGTCTCAGACATAGCAACGAAGTGCATACTATTTCCTCACCAGGTCTGAGACCTGACCGTCCTCATGATGATGTTCTCGAGGGATAAGATGGTCGGGTGGATGGGCTCTCCCTAGCTGGCGATGCTCAAGACTCTCCGCCATGGAACTCCTTGGGTACTCTCCGCTACACACTCTTCAACGTTCCGATCCCTTCGCCCTCCTCATCCTACTGACAAGAGAAGCCCACAACGTAATCGGCCTTCGTATCAATCGGCTCCGGCTCACAGACCCAACTCGACATGTTCCCCTCCCGAGAGTGCCGGGCACTCGTCGTCAATGCATTGCGAAGCTGGACTTTGCTACCCTCCTCGGTCGCCGTCAGTTTTGCTTCGGTAGCAGTCGTACTAACCTGTTCAAGTTTCCGAACGACAGCCATGTTGCTAGCTTCCATTTCACGATCGAGTTGGACACCAAACGACGACGACTCATACTCACAGCTCAAGAAAAGCTAAGCTTTCGACGCAGGTCTATGCAAGATTTTTGTGAGATGACGAAAGCCTCTGTAATTGTGCAAGACGGGATACAGATTCGATTCGGTGATCAAGAACAGTACCACTTCAGTATGGCAATAGCACCTCTGGATGGTGGCTTTGATGAGCTTTTGACAGACTACGTGCATTCGGTAACCCAGGTAGCACAAACCGAGCGGCCCCAGCCACTGATGAAACGTGGATACGTCGATGCTGAGATCGATGAAGTCGATGCAGCTTCGAAGCGGTCTCGAGTGGCGTAATGCAAATCGGCATATCTGTCTAGTCCTCCATTTCTTCTGCGGCTTCAGCATCTGTAACAATTTGTTCGCTTTCCATACCACTAGTCTCGTCTTGCTCTCGTTTCCGTTTCCGTGACTTCTTCTTCTTCTCACCAAGGCGAGAAGGCGGCTCTGCAGGGCAGCGAGACTCGCCGGGCAGAGGTGTTCCCAGTGGCTGCTGGCCTTGAGACGGGCCAGGAGCTCTGGGCAGCACAGACTGGAATTCCCGACCTGAAAAGCTTGGTTGCACGGTCCTGCTCGGTGTGGTGCAGCAAGCTAGGATCCATTCGTATACATCCTCCAGCGAATTTCTTCTGTGCTGCTCAAAGCTGGCCAGCTTAGCGACGTCGGCATCAGCACTTGGCTTCTGCCATAAGATCGAAGGCGTCTGCAGACGGCTCCCAGGATCTGGGCCTCCTCGCACACGCTTCATCTTTCCAAACATTCGCCCGGCTTGAGCGTTAGTGAAAGTGTAGAAGCCCTTCGTGCCCGCGATGACCACCAGAGACTCTGCAGATGTGATGTACAGGGGGTACTGCTCATAAGATATGTATTTACTGGCGAACACAGATGTTGAAGCATGAGGTGGATTCATCAGGGCGCTACTCCTCAAGTACCGTCCTCGATGGCTATGCCGAAAGAAAGCCTGCCTGTCATCATTGCTGGGGACGAAATGTGTGAAGATGATGGTCGGGAAGTCACGCCTGGACGCGTGCATCAGCATTTGAAGCTCTGGTGTCGTTCAACTTGTCAACACTGACCCAGGCTCGTTAGGCGAACGGCCCGGCGGGCATACTTGCGTGCCTTGGATACCTCATGGTCAGGAACAGATTTGCGGTCGCTCTTGAAGCCTCGATCAGATACGGAGAACGAAAGCTGGGTGGCAAGATCGTCTTTCCAGAAGTACCTGTCGGAGATGGGAAGATCTCGTAGCAGGGGGTTCTTGCGTTCCTTGTGTTCGCGCTTCTTCTTTGTCGGTTTTGGGCTGGGCGCATTCGTCTCCATTGCGAGGCGCGACCTCATAAGATGAGTGATGATGGCGAAGCCGCAGTTGGAGACGCATCAAGTCATCAAGCCATCAAGCCATGGACATCATTCAAGCAGTTGCGAATCTCCAGCAACGCCCAAAGTGCAGTGAGTGGGGATTCTCGCTCTACTGCTAGCACGCGCGAGGTCGATGCTGTCAGCCAGCTCTTACAAGACGAAGACGCCCTCCGAGTCGCGAGGCTGATGATACCAGAGCTTCGCACTGAGCGTACGACACCTAGTGAGCACCTACATCGACAACGCCTTCTGAGTGCAACCCAGCAGATTCGCATCGCTCTTGCCTACGCCGAGAACGCATCCCAAGCAGCCTTCGACACAGCCTTGTACACTTAAGAGAAAGACATCTTTCTCGACGCAGAGATGTACCGCGCTCGAATCATCTTACATTAGAGTGGCCGTTTCGGCGAAGCTAGCGAAGAAGAGATCGGCAGGTAGTTGCAGAGCAGACCGGGGAAAGGCACACAGGACGCCACGCCCGGCGCGGGGCAGTAAGAGGTAGGTCTGTGGGCGGTGATGCTCTGCTCAGCGCTGACTACGTGAGTAGCTGCTCCGTGATGGCGCGGTGGTCGGGATGCGTTCGCGGCGAGGCACCTTCGGGCGTAGCAAGCAAAAAGGAAAATTGGAAGCGTGAATGTGGCTTGCCAAGACTGTGGTAGCGTGAAAGTCAAGCGGCGGCAGGACGGAGAGGCCTCCGTACTGTAGCCGACCTGGCATTCTTGGACATCATGAACAACTCGTGCAGACCCATCAAGGTCGAATTGCTGTCAGCAGATACCTTCACCAAGACAATGGCGCCGCCGACCTGTGCCGTGACCAGCGCGCATGTCTTGCATGTTTGTCGTTGAGAACACGTTGACTCGTATGGTTCTGTGACCGCACTCATCGCCCAAGCTGTTAAGGCCCAATACGACATGTACGGCATTGCGTGACGGGGCTCAGGAGTTTCGAGCGTCAAGGTCCTCAGCTAAATCAGCAGGAGCAAGCTCCCGGGACCTGAGTCTGCCCTCCTTTGCCCAATATCGCCTGGCGAGCTGTCACAACCAACCCTCACAAAGCACGAAGCAATGATGGGGAACACTCCCATGCCAGAAGGCAAGAATGGCGAGCGTTTCTGAAGCCAACCCAACACGATTTAGTCCAAAGAAACTGCAGAAGAAAGTGGTCAGCAGATTGAACCGCTGGAGGATGGAGAGGTGACTTCTCTGTGTTGATGCTATTGAGTTTCCAGGCGGAGTCTTAATGTCTCGCGTCGGCGGTCGCTGGGAGCGGAGAGGTGACTAGAAAGAGGATCATCGGGTGGAAGTGATTGGAGGCCAAGGGAGCAGGTAGTGACTTTCAACTTGCCGACAGCAATGCCTCGACGGCTTGGTTGCGGTTGGGCACACCACGCAGTCTCGGTGTGCTGAATCGGCCAGGAGCTGTGACTTCTCAGCATCGCGTTGTGCAGTTCGGATTGGGCAGGTTGTTACTTGCTCTTGAACAGTGCAGGAGTGCTGCTGATGGCCCACCGCCGATGGCGAGGTGTCGGCTGCGCAGAGGACTTGGTGGCTTGCCGGCTGCTGTCGAGACTGTGAATGCATCAGCTGCCTTGGCAATGTAGCGGTGTAAGGACCTGACCAACGTGTGCCGCACGCCGACGAGGAGGCGTCCACCGCATCGGTCGAGAAAGGCGCTGCTGACTTGTCGGGTGCCATCAATGCTAGGTGCTCGTCAGCCACGGTGAGGACTCCGCGGTGTAATGAGGGTGGGCTGACCGTGATGCAGCATATGGTCCTCGTCGCAATCTGGTCTCTCGTCGCGATTTGGCTTCGCTCGCCCCAAGTCCGCTGTTGACTCCCAATCTCGCTGTCGGCGCCAAGCTGTGAGGATCTCAGTACGATGCCGTCAAGGAGGAAGAGGAGAGACTTGCCTTGATCCGACTCTGGACTCCTGAAGCTCCATGATCTCCTGTCGATGCCATCATTCCACAGCCCGCCTCCTCAGTCGCCAAGTCCTACGCTGCCAGTGTTCTCGTCCATCCAGCTAGCTAGATAAGCTATGGAGCTCTGTCTGATTGTTACTGTTGCTCTGTGAAGTCAGTCGGTTAGTGGTGAAAGCTGTTTGGGGCTGGAGTCACGACTGGCATCACGACGAAGACAACGACGACGACGTTCTACTGCTGCAGCAGGCCCCGGGGCGTTCACGACGGTGACGATCTAGATCTCACATCATTAGCAAGGCTGACAAGGCATGAGCGAGGGATCTGGCGAAGATGGGAGGGTAAGTGGGTGGTGAATGTGCTAGTGCTGAGGAGGAAGAAGAGGGGAGAGGCATGGAAGAGCAAATCGACAAAGGCAGCAGTGGTTCGCGCAAGCAGCGTAGAAGTCAGCACGGGAGTCACGTCAGCTAAGCAAGTTTTTGGGCGCTGCTGCTCTCAGCATCGGTGGCGACGCGGTGTAAGAAGCAAGAGCGAGCTTGCCCTGGAAGCGACCGGCAAACTTCCCGACGTGAAGTCAACTGCGGCAGGAGGCATCGCCTCGCTAGCGGTTTACCTGACTTTCAAGTCCTACACTCGGCCCCTCGGTGTACTACGAGCAAGACGGTGTGCAGAATCCCGTGTTAAAAATTCGAGAATATGCAGCAAGCGAGATTGATTTCCCGTCGCTCATGAACTTGATCCATCCAGCCGATCGTCTTATCTTGCTGATTGTGAAAATCATATATTAGGAGCGGTCTTCGTAGTTACACGCCCATTGTGAGGCTGGAGAAATGGCACGTGCTTGTCCAGCGATCCGAAGAATCAAAAGTGATTTTCAGCTGATTATCAACGGTGGCCTTTCTGGAGTCTGAACTGGGTGAGTCCGATCCACTTTCACTAGATGTCCTCCGCTGCTAGAGCACAATAGCATTGTGAAGAAAGAAGCGGTTCTCTCCTCAAGCATTGTAATTGCATGCATATGAGTGGTTGCGCCGGGAATTGAGGCCGACATGGAACAGCAGCACTTCAAGGCATGTGAGTCTGTCGCGAGACTCCTGCCAGCAATCGAAATTCGTTCTGAGATCCAGTCGTTGAGGTTACTTGCCAGATCTGCGTCCTGTTATCGTCTGTCGATTCGCTCTCACCAAGATCAACTCACCGTCGATACTTGGTGTCGTCGAAAGGCCGGCCCAGCAATACCACTCAAACAATCACGATCGTGAAATATGTGCTGTTGCATGTTCAAGCCACCGGTACTGCCAGACGTGAGCACTCTCAATTGGGGATAGTAGATCGCATCTCCCGAGGCAGAGCATGAATGACTGGCTGCTCCATGGCGCTGCAGTCTGTGTGTCGGCGAATGAGTGATAATTGAGTGTCACGGTGAGAGATCGATGTTGGCCGCAGTGTTAAACCATCGCCAACCAGAGTGCGCTGTACATGCGCGGAAGCTTTGTACGCCAGACGATTTTGGGTCAACGATTTCCGAGTCTCCATATCTTGTGAGGTAAAGATTGAGACCAATACCTTTATATACGTCGTCATCAGTGCAGAACATGCTCGTGTCTGATGACCGACATTGCTAGACTGACCACTCTATAACTTGGGAAGGTAGGCCGCATATTGGATAAGATGCCTAAGTCGCTGAAGACTGCATTGCTGGAGGTCTCTAGGCAGCCGACAGTAGACCCAAACTCCCTTTGGCGCTCCGGACTCCGTTCCAGATCTGCAGGTATGCCACTCTTGTCGGCTTCACCCTGCCATCGTCTCTACTGCAAGAGTTCCGAATGTCCTCCATTCTTCGAGTCGAAGTCTCTATAGGTGAATCTCCATCTTCAGGTGATCTAGAAGGCAATCGAAGATGGATAGGCGGACTCGGATGTATTCTATCCGAAAGGCAATCTCGCGCGGTTGTCTTCTAAAGATGCGATCCATCAGACAGGTGGCGAACGGTCGCAGTGCAGGCATGTCGCAGCCCATTCGCTGGACTCACGGGAGTGGCGGAGGATCTCGGGTTTGCAGGAGATCTCGTCTCGCTGACTGGAGTGGTAGCGGTGGCCAAGACCTGGCTGCTGGCGCGACGAAGGGACTGCTTCTGATTATACTGTATCTGGCAGAGATCCGAGGAACACCAACGCAACGCAGCCAGGATGCGAAAATGCCGTTGGCGTTTCTTTTGGTGAACGGAGCGGGGAGTGAGGGTGTTTCAAGCTCTCGAGGCCAGAGATTGTCCTTTTTGTCCCTCCTACGTGTCCTCCACAGTCTGCACCATTCATTCCTTGTTATTTGTCGAAGTGGTTGAGATGACCGATCAATCCTCCAACTCACGCTTGTTGGACTTGCGCTCCTGCGTGCAGTCGCGAGCACGATGGCCTTCCTCGTTGCAATTCACACAACAAACCACAACCTTCCCAGCAGGCTCCTGCTTCTCTTGCTCGCAGTTCTTAGAAGCATGGCCCAACTCTTTGCAATTCCCACACTTCAAAACCAAACCATCCATAACCACACCAGCCTCAGCGAGACGAGTGCGGTTGTCCTCCTGGGAAGCTGGCCAACCTGCAGAAAATTTGGCGCGCTTTGGCTTGTCTGAGAACTGATAGGAGACGACATATTTCATGCCGGATTTGCCTTGCAGATTAATGATCGTATGGGTGTCGGCGATTGTCTGCTCCTTCGCGATGATGCCAGCTATGCCATGCTTCTCTGGTTCCGGCTGTCCACCCAACCCTTCGGCGCTCGAAAGATGTCGGATCGATCCTTGAATCGGAGAATGAGGACGATGGCCAGAAGGTTGTGATTACGAGTGGAAGAAGTTGACCGGCAAGAGGGAAAGGCGTGGTGAGCTCGAAAAGGAGGCGGCAACGCGTCATATCCAGTCGCGTCGCGTCATCCACAATAGCAGCTGCACCAAGATTTTGCATTGATATGTACAGCACAGCAAAGCCATGGAGAACGCATGCGCAAGCCCCGACTGGGTGTCGAGGGCGAAGTTGAAACGTCCAGCAGGCGCCGGCAGCTTTGATAGGGCTTGGAGTGATGGCCTGCTCAAAAAGCCGAGAATCGTGTACAGCTCTAAGAGACATCGCGATCCCTTCAATCTCTTCGCTGACGACGCGAAAGAGAACGAGACTGAAGTCGTAGAATCGGAAGGCGAAGATGCCAGCGCAGATAACGCCGACGCAGAGACCATCACCGTAGCCGCTACGATCCCGCCGAAAGCGCAGAAGCAGAGAAAGAAGCAAAAGCAAAAGAAGGAGAAAACCTCCACCTCCACGAGATGGTACCAAGTCGAGAAGATCGTTCGCCAAAGGCAGTCCAAAGGCAAGGCAAAATGAAAAGAGCGAAACTCAATACCTAGTCAAATAGGCTGGAAAGCAAGCCAATGGCAGACCTTGGCCATGTTCATGGGACGAGGAATCGCACATCAGCTCGGATGTTCTCGGTGATTGGCAAGTCGAGATCCAGCGCCGAAAGAGCAAGCTAGATGAGTGCGAGAGCGGGAAACCTGTCAAGTCTAGTGCTCAGGTCATTGGCGAGTGTTAGTATGATCCTGCCAAGGTGTCAATGCGGTCGACTGGTAGGCGCGAAGTGATGGTCAACTGGGAGAATGTAAGATTCGGAGACTTGGTAGCTTGGGATGGGATTGAATGAGTGCTGAGGATTCGGTCTCTTGGCAGGATGATATGAATGATGAGGACATGGATGTCTCTGCTGGTTGGAACTTTCTGGTTTCGTGCAACGATGTTGCTTTTTCTTGTGACATGATACCCCGAATAATCGATCGATCTGCCGACTTAGTCTCAGAGTGCGAGTCCATCATCCTTGCGTTTAGGAGAATTAAGATGAGCAAGGCGAGTTGGACTTCGGTGCCCAAGCGTGAGGACATCTTGCCTTCGATCAAGTACTGATGTGAGTTGATAGGACATAGCCACCGGATATGAAAGTTTTGAACGAGGCTAGCACGGAACAATGGGCATTTACCATGTCAAATGTATTGGCGATGGCATAGTGCACGGAATTCGTCTTTTGGAGTATTTCTAGGGCATGCTTCCGAGTTCGTGGAGCCCACAGATATTGAATCTTGTCGGCGACGTCTGCTTAGCTGACGTGTAGGTCAGCATTGATTGGGCGCCCGATGTGACCGCGCGGCCACTGGTACTGAGTATCAACTCCAGATGCCTTTCACGCCGACCTGAGGACTTCGTGGTGATCAGCAGCTCTCTATTTGAAGATGCCTGGGATATAAGCAGATGACCAGAACTCCTGTCTCTCAGCATACGGCTGGAGCAGTCTCGCGTATTGCATAATGGCCAGACAGTCGCCTTGCCGATATACCGTCCCATTGTTGCCGTGTGGAAGGTCAAGCGCAGTTGCGCTTCTATCGTCGAAAGCCCCCGCAACAGCTACTTGTTCGCTGTTCAGAACGTTCTGCAGGCTGGTGTGATGACCTCCAGAATGCGTCATGTAGCCCATAAGCCTTGGTCTATCGAATTGAATATTGTTGCGAGGAGTCTGAAAAGGAGAATTGTAGCTCAGACCGGAAGAGCATTGCTCGATAACACCAATGATATGTTGACTTTTGCGTTGCAGTTCAGCCTCCTTGGCCACCTCCATCACCTTCCATTCAGCCTTGGTCTTGGTTCTCAACTGGGCCTGAAAGGTCAATGTTCAGATTCCGCATACGTAAAACATACGTGGTATCGTGATGATGTCGAGACAAAATGGGAGCTGTCGTCGATGACGCCTCATTTGGTGCGCAGCACGCAACACCAAACCGTAGCCACAATAGAATGCCCCAGCGGAAACACGAAGACCAGACATCCGGACCATTCGATGGCCAGGATCGACTTGTTGAGACCACCGCAGTCTGTCGAGTAGGCAGGTAAATGCAGGTCCGCGAGATCAAAGAAGAACTTCCCCAGGGATCAATGCAGCGTCGGCGCGACTCTATTGCGAGCAAGAGAGTCGAAGCATCGCAAAGATCTGGGCTGATCTCGATAACCCGATGAACAGCACCATAGTTGGTGCTTCCAATGTCAAGTTCACGAGCAGAGTTCGATACCGGCCCGAACGTGAACCCATGCTGCTCACCATTGTTGGCTGTTGCGCATCATTGTCAACTTGATTGACTAATGCGTTGTGTAACAGGCGGACAGTAAGGATGGAGCTCATCTCAATTCTTCAAGTCGTGGTCTTGAATTTTCAAATGGCTTTCTGTGAAGCATTTTCTACCCCAAAGCTGTACACCGGCGAAGGAATGTTCGATGAAGATCCAGCCTGGAAGAAGGAGCCTCTAAGAAGAGTGATACCAAAGCTCTGAATACCGAAGCTCTGACAAAGTACCAGCGTCGAAAGCCCCAAACGGCAGCACACTGTTGATGTCCGGGCTTCAATGCGGTATGCGACCACCGAGACTCGCTGGCGCATATCAGTGCACCGGACACTCCGCCGTCGCTTGGATGCTATTCAGCAACGCTCCCAGTCCACCTACGCATGAGCAGGTATCTCCCGGCGATGCTTTCGACATGCCTGCAACCCAGCCCAGAACCCACGTCTCGAAGCTTCCAAGTGAGATTCGTTGTGAGGACTCACATTCGAGATGGTTATACGTAACCAAGTTCGAAATGGCGGAAAGGAAAGCAGGGAGGCATGTGGATACTGGATAGCACCAAATTCAAGTTTCTACCCTTCTTGCCAAGGTGGCGTAATGTTGTGGTTAGCGAATGATACGCCGCTGTGACCAAGATTCGTACTTCGCACTCTGCCTCTGCTGTCAGGTAAGTTGGCCTCCTAGATGGATTTTGGATTGCATGCGATACACTAGTCCGCGCTACAAGTAATGTAGGTGCACCAAGGCTGCAGCTGTCAGCGTGGGCGGAGATGGAGCATATTGTGCATAGTCGTTCTCAAATCTCCGGTGAACACCCAAGCTTTTGCGGACACTGCCCCTCTGACCTTCCCGTCCGGCTGCAGGCACACATGGACCGGACATATCATAGTCATCTCAGCATGGAGAAAGTCAGTCAAGGCAGAAGCATTGCATCAAATGGGACGCAAGATATCCCGTCCTGTAATATGGAGTCTGGACCACCCCTCCTCGGAGCAACGCATCGAGGTCAGGATCCGGGAGTGGCACTCTTAGAATACCTTCCGTCAAATCTCCGGAACCAATACGCGGTCGCCAGTGAAGCCAGCCTCGTCGTCGTCATAATGAGCAATCGTGGAGACGATAGTGTCCGAGAATCAACAGTAACGACAAGAACGACCTCAATCGTTCTGCGCAAAGCGGAGTGCCACTGCTGATGTATGAGAATTGAGCGTGTCCGCTCGCTGCTTTACGATTTCATATGTCTATGCCTATGTCTCCGCTTGCTTGCTTGCTTCCTTGCGCAATCCAGGCCGAGACCTTGAGGTTGCGAACTTTCATCGATGCTAGAACATAGCTCAGGATTCAAGAGGAAGAAGTAACAGCCATCATTTGGGATCGCTCTTTAGCTTGCTCGGCTCTCGCCAACTAGAATTTCTAGACTTGCTTGCCTTTTGGGAGACTGTTTGAAGCAAACTCAGTATCCTTATTGCGGGCGAAAGCTTGTGTGTGATTATTGCCTCGAGAAGTTCCATGGTGAGAGCGGTCTTGACTGCGCCATTGAAGGCAAGTCTATAATGCCATCGTGGGTTCTAGTGCCATTGGGGAATATCCAAGCAGTAGGCGTCCGCAGCAATGTATGGCGAGAAGTATCAGAATCACCTTGGTATTTTGGAGCGTACCCCAATAGACAATGATTTTGATCCCGACCGCAGACATCGTAATCCCGGTCGGTAAGTCAATAAGAGTCCCACCGGTATAACCGTTTCAGTAAAATCTTTCGGTATAGCCTTTCTGCAGTCTCCTTGGAACTGAGAAATTCTCATAGCATCCATCCTGACGACCAGACTTTGGATTTGGGCAGAAAACCTCTAAGACAACATCTCAGTGTGACTTCAGACAGTCTGCTCCCGGGCTACTTCGTTAAGGTCTCTAAGAAGCCTTGTTGCTGCACACACTTCATAAAGGGATTTCTGCAGATGAGTATTCACAGTGGAAAGGACTGCTGTAGCAATGTGCGGCTAAGCGAGGAGTCGCCAGAAGATGAGCATTATGCGTACCGGGGGTGCTCGTCCGCGGCGTCTTAGGATCATGCGTCGTGGTATTCGTCCTCCCTTAGGGTTCATGCGGTCTTCTGGATTTACCTGTTACAGAGTCCTGAGCTTGAGCTTGATTTCTTATGATGCCCGACATGTAGTGCTTTTCCGACCGGCATTCAAAGGGACTATAGTCTCGCTCACATGAACAATTTGTCGTCTTTCTTACGCCGTTACATTGCCATATGTATTCCTACTCGCAGCTTTTCCAATCGTACGCGACGATTGCGAAGAATCGAAAGTGGCATCGTCGAGGTCGATGTAAGAAGGTTCGCAAAATTAGCATCATCGAGGGAAAGTACTCAGAAGCCTTTCATCCCTGCTCGAATCAGTTCCGAAGGTCCCTGTGAAGCTTTTGCGAAGATCAGCTTCACGACTCCAGAATCCTGCAGCTAAAGCCTCATATGGAAGAGCTTGTCACTTACCATTGATCTGAAGAATATCAAGGCCGCAGTCCTAGTGGTCGCTGACGTCGACGTACGGAGGTTTGCAGCAATTTCGTTCCACATCCGGAACTGGGCATGCTGGTTTCGTGTTGTCCGGCTTCTGTATTGGGATTTCATGTGCCATGGTCAGTCGCTGGAAAGAGCAAGAGGACTCCGCTTTGGTTGGATTTGTTGAGTGCAAGCCGAAGTCGTACAGTCGCGATAAGACCGAGCGTAGCAGAAATTGCTGTTGCTGCTGCCTGAACATTATGGCTTAGATTCGCCATGGTGGTATGAAGTGGCGATGCTACGATGTGACACAGTATTGGCTCAAAGAGATAAGAGACGCTGCCCGTCATGTCCACTTCGAAGAGATCGTGTGGACGCAGATATGAGGCATGTAGTAGCCGCAAGCCTGCCTGCTATACGATTAGCAACAAGGTGTTGATTGGATACAGCTCACCGCTACGTACAACGACCACGTACCGACTTCTCGCTCGATGGCATTTCATCTTGCTGAATGATGGCTGGCAGAATAGAACGTGGTTTAAGCCGAGTGGCGAGTCGCAGCACATTTGTATTTCTGCTTTCCGTGCACGTCCGCGTGGGGTGGATCGGAGGCCATTGCGTGTCTGGCTTCGGCTACTACCCTTTGGAATGCCTTTTGTGTCATGATCCTTCGTCGAGATCGTCAACTGCGCATGTGCGCTTCCGCATTGTGTTGGGATGGATCCGTATTTCGACGATTCGGCGAGACGCACAAGTGAGGCCTGGCCTAAGCGTTTCTGCTGCTGATTGCGCCGCTGATGTGCTGAGGAAGTCGCCAGGCACCAGCAGCTGTGCCAACGGCGGTGCAGCACACAACATAGTAGAATAGACATGTGCAGATTATAATCGCACTGAGGACAAAGATAGTCACGGCGAAGGGTTGGGAATGCCACTGGAGATGGAAGCTGAGGCAGCTTCCGCTAGTGTAAAGCACTCGAACATGATGCATTGCACATACCGGATCGTGAGCATCGAATGGCATAATTCCGGCTCTAGGTTGATTACTCAGATTATGGACAGATACTTGCGGCCTGTTTCTCGGCATCAGCCTTCTCAGCTTTATCCTGAGCCATCGCCATTACGGCAACCGGGCCAACATCTTACCATTTGCATCTTTCTTTGACCACGAGAGCTTGACGAGGTCGATGTGAGCTTGTAAACATGGGCAGCTGTTATAGCAGCGCCCGAGCTACTGGTGCTGCTCGGGGTGCCATCCATCTTCACGCGCTGCTCCCTAAGCCTATGCCATCATGCTAATGTGACAGCGGCAAAACTGGAGACCGGCCAAGACTCGTCGTTGCTCTCGCATGTGTCCGAAGTTCAGGTAGCTGTCACCCGGCAGCGCGGCTTCTCCTTTTGTATCTGATCCTACTACAAATTGCCACTTTGATGGAAGCCCATACACGGCTCAACGTCGCACTGGAGCACCTGTCCAACGGTACATTGATGACACTTTAGGCCGATTCACGGGAGCACTGAGTCGCGAGACCGGGCTTTTCGGAGCTTGCTGCGACGGGGAATGGTGCTCCTGCCTTCGTCAGCCTGATCTTGCAAAAGAACCGTATTACATGGATTGTTCCAATGGCTGGAGAGATGAGGTAAAGTAGTTCGCGAATTATTTTTGCGTGATCCACTTGTCCAGCTACTTGATCTCGCTCTGCTGCGTCGAGATCGATACCCGCAGTTGCTTACAGACGTGACGCGATTCTTTCCGTACCCCCAGTTCAGCAGACATCCTTGCCGCGACGTGGACAATCATCCGTCCGGGAAATCTCCGAGCCAGTCGACATTCGCATGTATCTCGTAAGGTCTGGCATGTAGTAGCCTTGCGTGACCTGGTCTCGAATGTACGGACTTGAGTAGACTTGAGTCTGAGATGGTTCGCCTCAGTCGAAAGATCCCTGTCGACCAGACTCCTCAGCCAGAACGAATTCGAGCTGTCAGAGCTTAAGGATGCTTCTGGTTGGCGACGTGGGCCATCCTCGTATCACCCAACTCGTGAATGTGAATGGTTGGACGGGCGGAACAGTCGGAGATGTAGATATGTTTTTGGTCAGGCGAATTGTGGGAAGCGTTCTTGTTGACAGTAGGCGACAGGGTGAACCACATCTCGTCACGTGCTTCAATGCAAGAACACCGGAGGTATGAGCACGTTGGCAGGTGACAGGGTGCTTCGTACATCTGACCGTGAAGGATGTACATTGCTGTCGTCGCTGGAGCAGCAGGTCAGAAGCCGTCATTGACCGGTAAAGGAGTTGCTGTGAGGTCGCGGACTCTCAAGCCATGTACATCTCGCTGCAGCCATCCTCGTCCGCCAACAAGGCGAGTACTTGATAAGTCCTTGCTTGGCTGTCTTCGTAACATGCATATGCCTTTCCCTAGCTCTTCTGCAGCACTTGATGCGCTTCAGGTCCGGAATGTCCTTCTGCTGCCTCAGTCCATGGTGTCAAAGAAGCCTTCTTCGCCAACTGCCTACATTGATGTGCTCTTGCTTTTCCTTGCATCCGCATCCCTCTTGCCAAATGAGCGAAGCGCCGGTGTCGATCTACTCCAGTCATCGAGGTATCTGCAGATTGTCGACGCAGCCATGCCGTGCCGCGGCTTCAGCCCAGTCTTTGTAAATGATCGTGGGCGGAATGGGAGTCGTAGGCGGAATGGGAGTCGTGGGCGGGTTACAGTATGGAATGGAAGTCGGCAGTGTTTGGCCAAAATTGGGCTCGCTGACACGCAGGCCCCAAAATTTGGAGCCTGCTTGACAGCCACGTGATTCTGCTAACACTGCGGCCCCAAAAGTTGGGGCTCTTGGGGCCAATGGATTTCCAACTTCCGCTCAACTTTGTGCTCGCACCTACTTTTTGCCTACAACTCTCTCGACATTCTGTGCTCCTCCGAGGCTGTTGTATGAGCTCGTGCATTGAAGCTGCTAGGTCTCGAATCGGGCTTGAATGCGTCAACACACAGAATCTTCTAGACCCATTCATGTTGAGCAGGTCAGTAATACTACCTAATCACCGTACCCGTCAGCATGCCCGATCGGTCGCCCATTCACAGCTCCTTGGCCGGAATCGAAAATTCTTTACGTCTGGGCTAGCGTTGAGCCTTACTTCCAAGCGCATGATCGCAAGCAGGAATCTCGAACCCAATAGCCTCATAGGCTCTACTATCGCAGCCTGATACTTCCATAGTGTACATCTACATCATATCCATGGAGGAGATGAAGCTGCATCTGCGCAGGAATGATCTCTCGAGGGTGCGAAGACAGGAGCTTCTAGGCGCCAAGGAGCCGGCATGGAAAGGAAAAGGGCATGTATGGGCTCATAAGGCTACGTATAGCCGCAGTGAGGACGACTGCATGCTTAAGTTGAGCAAGCACCATGCGCAGCTTCTCAATAGGCGTTGGCTCCCGCAAGTCACAATGTCTTTTAGAAAGGCTTTGTTTGTCCTCTGCTGAAGAACGAGGCCGAGAAGGATGTCATTGCCGAGGCGACCAGTGTAGCAGGCAAGCTTGACTGGCGCGACAAGATTGACAAGATACCAAATGCAAATGCCAGTGCTGCACTGCTGGCAGGAAGCTTCGATCGCGAGTTTTTCACATTATCCACTACATATCCTGCAGCCCCCACGTTTCTCGACTTCAATGCTAGTGGAAAGGCCACGCTCTTACTACAGATCAAGTATACTACTCGACTCCTCGGCACCTAAAAGTAAGCATAGCACACGGACGCCCAGCTCACGGGAACGCGGGAGATGGGTGGCTCACTTCACCCATCACAGCACATTTTCCGCGTTGTATACCAGGCAGAATTGTACCAAGTGGACGTACTTTCCCGGCCCATTGTGTCTTCACGGCAACACTGAGTACAGAGTTTGCCGGACGCCGATTGACCGTTAACGCGATCAAGAAAGATGATGAACTCTTGGGCATCGCTTTTACACATCTGAATCCTCGGGATCGGATAAAGGAAGCGCAGACATTGCCTGAGCATTGATGATCCAAGAATTCCAACACCGGGCTTCGTCTTTGGAAGGTGACAGCTAGATGAGGCCGAGAGGAGTCTTTCACTTCATCGTTAGCAACATCTCCGCTTTGGTAACATCGACAAGCTGGGCCAAAGCACGCCCGGAGAATTTCGTTGTGGAATGATACCACTACCAGGACGTTGCCTGGCTTGTGTTACAGTCATCCAAAAACACAGTCCCTCGGGCAGAAAGAAACAAGAAACAAAATATCTTGGACGCAAATCGCCTGTTATAGTAAATGAGATCTCTTTGCTTGATTACACAAGCTTTCGACATCGAACTCATTGCCTATCGCACTCAGACAGCTCGACTCACAAAAAGTGAGGTTGTTTAGCAGCGGCCTAATGGGTTCAATCACGCTTATCCGGACACACACTGAGCCGCTTGTGCCGTCTCACGTCCGACATGAAGCAAAATCAATGGCAGCTCAACTTTCCACACATTCAAAGTTCGACGTCTCCGACACACTTCAGCTCATTGCTTTGCTTCTTAGTGGAAAGAAGCATTATTGGTGCCGAGAAACGCTGCAAAAATCATGAACCTTGCTGTTACGTCGGATGTAGCTTAGATGTCCACTTTGAGGAACAAACGGCGAAAGCCGCCCAAGTCGGATCGCTAGCACCTTATCGACTATTCTTGAAGCTCCCTCCAGATCCGTTATCACGATGCAAACGAATATTGGCACGCTATGCTGAGCTTGGTACTTGCCAAAGACCAATGTCATCTGTGCTTAAGAGTTGACACTCTCGGGAAAGGGCCAGTAGCCGTACTGGTGCCCTGTTGGAATTCTCACGACTGAAAAAAAAATACTCTCGATATAGCTGAGAGTCGAACACAATGGGCAACGACAATTTCTTGCTGCAACGACCGCTCGAGGTCCTGTCTTCTTCCTCAAATCTTCTTGGTTGTCCTTGGTTGTTGTTCAACGCCACAATCGTTGTCGGTGCTCGTGCTTCTTGTCCCTCCACATCTTGGGTTGCAGCGAGTACTATAAGACCTCCGCCACTTTTCTTTCGACAAGACAAGGCATTGAATGATCGGGATGCCACCGACGATGGTGACTGAAAGCTCAGCGTTCGCTGATTACACGCCTGCGAAGTGGAGTTGAAGCATTAAATCTTTCATGGTGCAGCAAGAAGCGTCGATGCGTAGTACGACGGCATCTCATAATGCAGTACAGCTGAGATGGATTCATTACTGGGCCTGAGAAGGTGGTTGTCGCGAGAAAGAGCCTACATATAGGTGTCAGCGACATCTCAAAATCTGACGTCACTGACAACAGATGGCCTTGGGGCCTGGGCTCGAAGATTTGCCTGTCGACTCCGAGACGGATTGCACCTTGATCTGAGTTGGAAGACGATGTTGATCTGGCGACGGTCTTCGCGATGAGGCAGCCGGGTTTATGATCCCAAGCACTGCAGATGACACAAGCACCATCTGGAGCTGTCGAAAGAGAGGCGGAAGTAAGGGCATGACCACTGGTGTGTCAGATTGCACATGCCGTGGCACAGTGGGATTGAAGGATCCGACCACAAATGCAAGCTTTTCACTGCAGCCATGGCCGCCATCTGCGAAGGGAGCCACAGCCGGGCCGAGTCAACATCCCTACAGGCCGTGTCGGATAGGCCGGACTTGCAGCAGTTCCTGCCTATAAACTGAAGTCAAATGGTTGTGTATGCCTAAATATCGCTTCGCTCTGCTTCTCACGTCTAGATTGGGCTTTTCGTGGCATCATTTGCCCTCGATATCTTTTGAAGCGACCTCGAAAATAAGCGGGAATATGATGGCGGCGCAGCGTCATCCTTACCTCCATTTCTCAATTTTATCTTCCTCGCAGACCTTTCAGAGCAGCCATTTTCGAGTGCCGATCCCTCTCGCAGTACCGGCGTTAAGGAGCTGTATTGAATGTGTCCTTCCAAAATGCCTTAAGCGAACTTCTCGATAGGTGCTCCTTTGCGTGTTTCTTGGGAGTTATTGGGAGGGGCAGACAATGCGACAGCTGTGAGTACTCTCCTCGTCTAAGGTCTCGGCAAAAACGGTAGCACTAAGGTGCGGAACCATGAGCTGCCGCTGATCTCAGCGCTTTTGCTGCTTCTTGCCGATTGTTTGAATGGAGATTGTCGCTACGAATACCGACAATTCCTTTCTATAAGTTGACTCATTGGCGTTGTCAGCAATGTAGTACTCGGACGAAGCTTAGGTAGATTAGATGGCTATGATACCGCATTGCTATACTCCATAGATAACATGACATGTGCTGCAGATACGATTACTGAGATATGCTACCGGACTCTTCTCCACTTGATGGCCGTGTCCGATAACCAGCTCAATCTTCATAAGTTTGGTTCGAGGTTTTGCAGCAAGAATATGAGGAGTCCGTTCACGGTGCATAAGACTGGCGGTATGAGCTCTCAATGACCACACAGGCTAAGAATTCCCATGTGTGCACGCAGCCTTGCTCAATCCAGTCCTCGTTGTGAGATTCGCCACATCCGGCGCTCGAGTGAGCAGCTGCTGGCTGTCTACGTCTTCGAGCACTAGAAAGTCGGGTGAAATTTTGACTTTGCAGACTGTGTTCGGCAAGCGGAAGCTCAGAGTGATCCGTGATAAGTGAGTCGGTACAATTGGATTGAAGAGAAGTCTGGACAAGCGCCGAGTCTGGGCATCGCAGCAAAAAGGGTTGATTTTGTTGTATAAGCGTTACTCAGCACTCGTAAAGTCGAAGCTGTGTTAGCGAAGTAGGACGAATGATATGCTGCAGAACGATAAATTTCGTCTATCAGAGCGGCTGCCACGCATATTTTTGACTGAAATACCTGATCAAAACAAGACTTTAGGCTTGTATGGAGCGTAAGATCTCCCGATTCGCGATTACCTGCTCACGGACCATCGAAAGGGTGCTACCAGCGCATGAAATGCTGCAAATGAAGTCAAGGCTGCGTCGAGTGGTGGTTCTGTTGGTGGAATGTCTTGCTAGGTGGTCCTGTTGGCTGCGTTCACAATCGGCGACTTCAAGTCCGAATCAACCAGGGTAGAGGGGCGATCAGCGATCGCCATGTCAATTCAAGTGCCTCTTTGGAGCGCATCATTTACCTCGCTAAGCTTCCGCTTCGAGGAATCCAATGAAATGGACTGTATTACTGGTGTTGAATGAGATCAAATGTAAATGTCGATCGGGTAGAAGGTCGTGGTCAATTTAAAGAAAGTCGTAGGAACGAATTGATCTTTAGCACTTTTGAGTTCGCTGTGTCTTGATCTGCCTCTTCATCAACGAAGTTTCGCTTTCATAGGTGAAGATTTCGCGTCATGTGCATTCTTGCAACAAGAAGTTAACTCCACTCGCATTCAGTCCTCCAGTAAAGCTCATTTTGACTTCATTACTAGGCTATTGAGGATGATAATGGTCTTATCTGGATGGAGTAGTGACTCCCGCCTAGTATCAATCGCTCCCAGTTGTAGAACAACAATGCAAGTCATGAATGGTAGAAAGACTTCCACGAGTGGCCAAAGGAAGCTAGGCGCTGACAAGGGGGCTCTCGAGTGCGGAGCCGTGATGTTAGGAAGCACCCATCGCTGACAAGAAGGCTCTTATGATGGGCGCCCATTTGTCAGTGTCCTCACCAGTATCCGCAATTCTCATATCAGAGACACTTACCACGCCATTCTTGCAGGTCAGTTGGCGAATTTTGTCAGCCTCCGCTCTGAATCCAGGCCTGCGCGGATGGACGTGACATCAGATATTGGCTGTGCATATGCTGAGTTCAGGTCCGATTTCTCATATCTGGCAAATCCCGCTGTTCGTGGTATTGGTGAGGTCGCTCGTCAATAGATTCGAATTGAATCCGTGAGAGTATGTCGAGCGCAAAGCGAAAATTGTTGTGACATTCGCAGCAAGGCCAACGAAGCAATTTCAGATCCGTCTAGATGAGCAGCAGCTAGCAAGATCAATTCCGAGTGGTGAGGAGCATACTTCATCCAGTATGAAAGACTTTCAATTTCTAGTACGTATTACTCAGCAGACCTAGCCAAAATCATCTCAAAGCCCTTCTCTTAATTCTCTGACCACGCAGATCTCTTCTGCTAGTCGGCCGCCCCCTTTTCATGATGGAAGTCGAGTCTCTTGAAGCTAGTGCGTAGGTATATGGTATAGTGTTGGCGGCCTTGAGACCTTCGAAAATCGGGTGCAATAATGACGTCCACTGTGGCTGATGAGAAGTCGCGAGTGAACATTGTTCGAATGAAGTAGACCGTCGCTGTGCGGATGTTGGACGAAATGGCTGCTGATACTGGACGGCCTTGTGGCGAAAGTCCAGAAAGCGAGGGCGCGCAAGTCGGAGTGCACAGCGTCGAATACTGTTCTTCGTGCTTTGTGGAAGCCTGAAGGTTTGAGACCGCTAAGCGTCCAGACCATACCTATCCGGCTCGAGGATTTGTCGGCCTGGATGCTGTCTGTGAACAACTATATCACTGATGCAAAGTCTCCTGCTGCCCGTTACCGCCAAGTATGAGTATCAATTCCACCTTATGGGCAAGGACATGCTGATCAGTCGTGCTTCAACTGGTGCATAATGAGAACGAATTAAGAGCTCCCTATGGCAACGATTGTCGTCCAGGAGCAGTCCAGTCGACCAACCCTCATCTGCGCAAGGCTATTTCAGATGCATTGCTCCAGAGACCACTATGGAACTAGCTGAATATGACCATTGTTCGGATCGCTTGGGAGACTTGGCCATATGAGTCGAATGGTAGCCGTTCAAGTGGATCTCGGAATGGTCCTCATAGCGTCGAATTGACGACCGTGACCTCAATTCACCCAGAAAATAGAACGCATCGGGAGCGGTATCTATATTGAAAGGCGGCCGGAGCTGTTGAGTGTTGATGTTTGCAGCTCGAGCGGTCTAAGTTGCCACCACAGCGAACATGTCGTTGCGTGTTGCCACTATTCTAGCCGCCGCCAACAGTTTCCAGGGAGGCAATACTCACTTAAAGGAATGAAATGGCTTTCCGGACATATTGTGGGATCATACGGAAAGACGTCTTGTGGCATACCACACTTTGAGCACACAATGAGTAGGTCCCAGTTGTCCCTCTCTGAGCTCGCAAGGGTACCGGAAGAAGTCGCCGAAGTAGGCTGAATAGACCAAGTGGCAGCACTGTCCTCGGCGGAGCCAGATGCAGTGTCATATGCATAGCCAGTGTGTTGAACCTTTGTCGCGCGATCACGGGCTGTACGCACTGGTCGAAACATGTCTCTGCGTCTTGTTCAGTCGTCTCGGTGAGCCTGGTAGGCGTGGCTAGGTGATGGGCGGCCATGGAAAGTGCAACGTAACCTTGGGTGAAGGTGCGTTGCACATGTCTGCGAACTCATGTTCGCCTGATGCGGACTGTAGTGTTGTGTCACTTGTGTGAGTGCAGCCTGCACGTGCAAGAAATCGGGATCTCGGAGAATTTAACGTCGGAGGCTCGGGGCTCGGAGCTCCAGGATGGTCTTGGCACTGGTATCCATCATTCCTTGCACAATTTCTTGCCATAGCTTGCCTGGACGGACATGTAACCGCACTGCGGATAAAGAGTATCGTGGTTATTCCACAATACCGCACGATGCACGACCGCGCCGTCATGCCTCTGCAGGTGCCGCATGATGCTAATGCGGCCATCCGCAAGATACAGCACCATGGTTACACATCACACATGCCCAAAGCACTCCTCCTTCCCTTGGACACGTCCATTCCATGAAGACGGCACTCTTACACAAGCTCAGACCATCAGAAAGTGGCGTACAGGATGGCGTCCACTGGCCATCAGGAACCAAGCTCCCCAGCCAACTTGGAGCCAGGAGGTAGTCCAACTCCCGCTCCGCCACCACCGACGCACACCATTCTTCTGCCCGTCGAAAAAGCCGAATATTGGCAGTCACCATCACCATTCGGAGCCAACAGCTGGGACGAAGTCGAAATCCATACCGCTGTCGAACCCCAACATCTCCATGACCTACCAAGCCCAAACGAACACCAATGGCAGCGCCTGACCGACACCCGCTCTGACCGTCGCTTCACCATCTCCGCCCATGAGCCAGACTCTGTCGTACGTTGTGATCGCAAGATCACACTCGTGAGGCACAATGCGAACAGACTTTCGCTTCGCGTAGATGTTGGCGTTATCTTAGCCACGAGGAGCGAGGGACAGCAAGATTGGTACGAGACGAAACACCACGTACAGGAATGGAGTACGGAAGTTGCCATCCCGCTGCCGCCGCAAGATCAGGAGGGACAAACGGCTGCCAAAGCTGACAAGAAGAAAGGGAGGAAGACCGGAAAGGTTGCGAAACACAGCAAGGAGAAGCAGAAGGGAGAGACGCGAGCACCTCCGCGAGCCCGCACCTCTGTCAACCGGGCATGCCCATTCTTGGAAGACAGCGACACGCTATAGAATTCGCCGCTTCGGGTTCAACAGCTTCACACCACGATACTGCAGCAGGAGATGATAGAGCGCTTGTCACCGAAGCAAGTACCGGCTGACGCTCTTACTTTAAGATTCAATTAATACATCTGCTCCTCTCAGACCAGGAGTGCCCGTGGTACTTGAAATTGCCTACGTCTCGAACAGGTGCTGCCCAAGCCACCTGAGAGGCTTTCCATTTCCCATACTCTCGGCAATTACTAGCATCATTGTTTTCCTTTTCCCCATTCATGACTAGAGCTTGACTGGAATCCGTGGTCTTCATTATATTCATCGATGGAAACGATGTATCGACTTCGATGTTGAGAATGATGGTGACGATGACCGCCATCATTGTGATCCATTAAGATAGCCATCTACCATCATGGCTGATATGAAGCTGCAGGTAGAACAAAGGGACTATGGCCAGACCTATATACGCCTTCCCATCCGGAGTCTCATCGAGAACTCACGACAGCACCACACCATCGCCTCCCTCCATGCCATCATCATTTCATGTTGACCTGGCTGTGGCCCTTCTCTTCCACCACTACTACCGCTCCAGTCATGTCCCCCCGAGTCTACAACCACGAAGCCATCGGCGAATACTTCCGTAGCGGCGGCAACTCTAAGCTCATCGATACTCTAACTAAGCTGAACAAGATCTACGCCATTGCTTTCATCGATGACCCACCCGAAGATGGAACTCGCGAAGTTCAGATCAAGCTTCTTACGAATCTCCTATCTTCCTTGATGGGGCCGAAGTACAACAACACTGTCAACGTAGACTATAGCGAATTCCGAACCAAGAAGGATTTCATCGCGGCTGCTGCGAATGAGTATCTGGAGGGCAAGAGCAAGGGAAAGAAGAAGATTGTGCGGTTCGAGCCTCAGGAAGTGGCAGACACTAGAAGCCAGGAAGAGGAGGAAGTGCAGGAACAAGAACAAGAGCAGGAGTATACCTCTTCGGCCGACGAAGACGCCGAGATGGCCGACGCCAACATCGACGACAATGATGGAAGCAGCAGCATGATTTCTGAGGGTGAGTTTAACGAGTTTGTGGCCTCAATCCGCGAAGACTTGTACAACCGCGAGAACGCCGTCGTGCAGCGAGAGCTGGACTTGTAGGCAGCCGAGGCCGAGCAGCGGAAGAGTGCGGCAGCTTTGAAGAAAGACTTGGAGAAGTGCGCAGCTAAGCTGAACGAGGTGAAGGCTGCAGAGCGCAAGCAGGAGCAGAGCGCCGCCGAGCTACAGATTAAGCTGGATAGTATGCAGAGACGGGAGACGCAAGTATTAGTGCGAGAAGAACAGATCATGAAGCAGACAACGGATTTGTTCACGCAGCAGTACGATGTGTCCAAGCGTGAGGAGGAGGTTGCCAAGCGAGAAGAGGATGTGACGAAGCGTGAAGATGGTGTCTTAAAGCGAGAAAACAATGTAGGAAAGCAAGAGAAGGAAGTCGAACGCAAGTAGAAGTCTTCCGGCATTGAAGAGGTGAAGATAGCCTATAAGAAGCTGAAGGAGAAAGAGGCTGCGCTAGAAGGGCGAGAAGACTTTCTAGCCAAGCGCGAGGATGAGTTGGAGGCTCGCGAGGACATTGCTTCAGGCTGCACTCTACAGATCTACGACTTCCTGCTTCCTGTCCACGTTCAAGCTCGCCTTAAAGCTGTTCGGGATTTCGGGACGGAGGAGAAGGAGAAGTCGATGAAGCGTGAAGTTCAAGACCTTGCGACGGCTCATCGTGAGGAGATGCTCAAGATTCTTCGTAGCGCTGAAGATAAGCTGGACAAGGGCTTCCTAATCGCGGCACACAAGCAGACCTCGGCCTTGTTGAAGGTCATAGTGGGTGTCTTAGGTCAAGTCGACCCTGATCCAGCTAGTAAGAAGTGATTGAGCATAGGATATAAGGAGCGTAGGCAGACAACGAGCGCAGTAGCAACCATAGAGTAGCATGGAATGACTTTTACGAGATCAAATCTATCGGATCCCTTTATACTGTGCACCAAACCTGTCCTTCCTAGTCCCAATGACATTCGTCAAGCCTACGAGAGAACGGATACCAGTCTCGTTCAAGGCATGAGTCTTGTCTGAGCCTAAAAATACATACGTACGTCGCATCGATCATGTCGTCGAGCTTACTAAATCCTCGCACGCCTAGTGTGTACTCTAGTAACTCGGAGAATAATAAAAGCTCGGTAATGTTAAAGAACTCGCAATAACTAGCACGATAAGCTAGCTCGCTACAATTCAAAACGGAAACGAAATATAGGTGCTAGGAAATCTCTATTAGCAAACACTAGCTTTAGCGTAAGTAATTAAGATCTCGCTAGTACACAATTGCTTCTCCCCTCCGTAGAGCTCCTAGATCCCTTAACAATCTTTTAGCAATCTGTACGCTTAGTAATTAGACTTGCTATAGCAATATAGGCATTAGTAAGACGAGTACGACTAACGTCTTTTAGCTAAAATTTAGTCTTAGACGAATTTAATGCGCTCCGGCTTGCCTAAGAATCGATCTAGGACGACGAAACTTATCTATTATAAGAGACGAAAGGCGAAGAAGTTAGCGTCGTCTATAGGAACTAGAGTAAGTATCGCGGAGAGCCGAGGAAGAGTATAAAACTTAGAGTTAAAGGTATAGCCGCATCCCTTAACGGAGCTTCGTAGTGCTTTTCGTCGTAGAACGAGAAATAGTACGCTCTAATAGAGTAAGGTACTATCTAGTATTCTCTTAGGCCGAGACTTCGAGGATCTACGAAGGAGTAAATAATAGATATAAATAATAGCTTTATAGGGTACTAGAGAAGCAGTTATCTATTAAAGATTCCGAGGACTACTATTAGGGCCAAAGAGGCTATACGTAATTAGTATATAATTAGGCCGAGTAAAGCTAGGGTCTTAGTGCCTTAGGTAGGGCTTGGCGCTTAGCGTTAGGCTAACTAGCCTACCTTCCTCCTTCTCCTCCTAGTTCTCTATCGAATACTATACTAATTTACTACTACCCTATCTACCTACTAACGTACCCTTCTTATATAGTATTCGATCTACCCTTTAAGGGTAGCAGCTAGATAGTCCTTATTTTAAGCTTTTAGCGGTATAGCTACGAACAAGACTAATCTAACTATATTGCGCCCGAAGAACGGGACCTATACGTACTATTCTATCGAAACAACCGTACTAATTATTAAACAAGGCCTTCTATACGGCCTATTGTACTAAGTTAAGCATACTAGGCCGATATCTACTAATTCCGCTATATCCGTATCTTAGGGGCTAATAATACATTATTAGTGTCGCCCCTTATAATAGCCGGTTTATTACGAAACAACAACCGTACTGCCGCTAGTAGCGCTAGCAACGACAACGCTAGTAGCACAGTGCCTACTAAAGTGCCTACTAAAGCACCTACTAAAGTGCTATCTACTAAAGAACCTACTACTAGGCCTGCCGAAGAACCTATAGTTCTAGGTAACGACCTAGAGTTGCCTATTAACGACATACTTAACAATATTATTAATCGACGATATAGCTAGCTAGCCTTTAGCCCCTAGCTAGTAGCGAGACTTTAAGAAGCTACTTGAAACAGGCTTACTGCCCTACGTTAAGAACAATAGCTAAAGGATAATCTCCTCGAGATTCGCCGCCTATAGGAAGCCCTAATAACTAACACTAAGCCGACAATAGGGCCTTCCTTACTATTAGTCCTAATTCAAAAGAAGGATGCTAAGCTTAAGGACTATACCGTATTTAATAGCTCTAGCCGAAAGCAGTACAACGACTACATTCGTAACTATAAGCTTAACTAGCGCAACGCACTAAGAGCGCTACTAGACGACTATTCCTTAGTCGTATACGCTATACAGTACATTAATAGCGACCTAAAGCGTATATAGGATAACCATTTTAATTCCCTTTACGACTAGACCGCTATTTAATAGCAAGACTATAAGACCGTTATACTAAACACCCTTAGAAACCCTATACTAAGGCAATAACATACTTAGGACTAGTACCTTCGAGCTAAACAGAAGACTAATTAATCGGCTCGCTTATTTAAAGCCTATTTAAAGACCCTCGAAGATAACCTTCCGGCTAAAATCGACTCTATATAGATCTCCGAAATACGCCCTAAACTAAGGTAGGAGCTTGTCCTTAAATTAGACCGCCGCCGTATATTCGAATAGGCTAATCTTATACGAATTCAATTTATAATCGAAGTAGAAACTATAGAGCGTATAGTACAGCTATAGTAACGGTTAGAATCTAAGATACGACTATCTACTAACCGTAGCCGCGGTAGAAATGTTAGGACTAAAGAGGTTATACGTGATTGGTATGTAACCGGGCTCGAGTAAAGCTAGGGTCTTAATGCCTTAGGTAGGGCTTAGCGCTTAGCAATAGGCTAACTTGCCTACCTTCCTCCCTCTCCTCCTAGCTCCTTATCGAATACTACTTGTACCTACTACTACCCTATCTACCTACTAATATAACCCTTCTTATATAGTATTCGATCTACCCTTTAAGGGCAGCAGCTAGATAGTCCTTATTTTAAGCTTTTAGCGGTATAGCTACGAATAAGACTAATCTAACTATATTACGCCCGAAGAACGGGACCTATACGTACTATTCTATCGAAACAACCGTACTAATTATTAAGCAAGGCCTTCTATACGGCCTATTATACTAAGTTAAGCATACTAGGCCGATATCTACTAATTCCGCTATATCCGCATCTTAGGGGCTAATAATACATTATTAGTATCGCCCCTTATAATAGCCGGTTTATTACGAAACAACAACCGTGCTGCCGCTAGCAGCGCTAGCAACGACAACGCTAGTAGCATAGTGCCTACTAAAGCACCTACTAAAGAGCCTACTACTAGAGAGCCTGCTACTAGAGAGCCTACTACTAGGCCTATTAAAGAAGAACCTATAATTCTAGGTAACGACCTAGAGTTGCCTATCGACGACATTCTTAATAACATTATTAACCGTCGATATAGCTAACTAGCCTTTAGTCCCTAGCTAGTAGCGAGACTTTAAGAAGCTACTTAGAACAGGCTTACTACCTTACGTTAGGAACAATAGCTAAAGGATAATCTCCTCGAGATTCGCCGCCTATAGGAAGCCCTAACAACTAATACTAAGCCGATAGTAGGGCCTTCCTTACTACCCGTCCCTATCTAAAAGAAGGATGCTAAGCTTAAGAACTGTACCGTATTTAACGGCTCTAGTCGTAAGCAATACAATAATTATATACGCGATTGTAAGCTTAACTAACGAAATGCGCCGAGGGCTCTTCTAGACGACTATTTACTAGTTGTCTACGCTATATAGTACATCAATAGCGACCTAAAGCGCATATAAGATAACTATTTCGACTCCCTTAACGATTAGACCGCTATTTAGTAGAAAACCTATAAGACTATTATGCTAAACACCCTTAGAAACCCTATACTAAGGCAACAATACGCTTAGGACTAGTACCTTCGAGCTAAACAAAAGACTAATCAATCGGCTCGCTTATTTAAAGCCTATTTAAAGACCCTCGAGGACGACCTTCCGGCTAAAACTAATTCTATATAGATCTCCGAAATACGCCCTAAATTGCGATAGGAATTGGTCCTTAAATTAGACCGCCGCCGTGTGTTTAAACAGGCCAACCTAATACGTATTCAATTCATAGTCGAGGTAGAAACAGCTAAACGAGCTGTCTAGCTCTAGTAACGACTAGAATTAAGGATCCGACCTACTAGCAACCGTAGCAACCGTAGCCGCGGAGGAAATCAAGGTTCCTACTAAGATAGTAATACTAACAATAGGAACAGTAACAACGACCGTAGAAGGGGCCGTAGCCGACGGCTATATAGAGGAGGCCGTAATAGGGGCCGTAGAAGGGGCTCGTATCCCTATAATACTAACCGCTTAACTAACAATAGTAGCAATAGCGGCTATAGCAATCCCCTAACCGGGTTAAAGTGCTTTAACTGTAATAGCACTAGCTATCTCCTAGGCTAATGCGACAAACCTAAGGACTAGGCCCGAATCGACCGTACTACCGCTAAATACCGAAAGCACCTTTTAGCCGCTAACGCTACCCCTATCGGTCCTTCTAATTAGTCGAAAAAAGAGTAAGCGCCGCACTAACTATTAGCCTTGTACGGCGTAAGACTATCGACATTGTACTAGCTATTATACGTACCTATCTCGTAGGGGATATATATAGCAACAATTATAAAACTAAGGTTACGCTAGACCTAGGAAATTCAGTTAGCGCCCTTATTAGCTATCGCCTAGCTAAGCAATTAGACCTTCGATAATTGCCTAGGACTAACCTACTAACCCTTGCTTAGTTTAATAACGCTCGGCACTTGACCTATAGAGCCTACTATGTCTATATAGCCCTAAGAGACGACCTCGGCAATAAGCGCCTACTAAACTTCCCCGCCTACGTAGTAGATATAAACAACCTATATAGGGGAGCTACTATTGTTATTAGTAACCCTGTTCTTAAGTACTACGCTATAGCTATAGACTTAGGCATTTAGAAGTAGCGATTTAGAATCGCTCGGAAAGAGGACATTAAACATATTAATGTTAGCGAGTGCCCTAACGATATTAGGGTCCTATTTATTAGTAACCTAACACCGGCCTCCGCCTTAGCTAATCCGACTACCGACCTACTCGGTAGTAATAACGATAAACCTATGCCTCCTAATAGCATAGACCCTAACTAACTCGCTCGTATACTAGAGCCTATTCGAGAAACCTATATTAACGTATTTAAACACTACTTAGCATCGACATTGCCTATATTTAAAGAGACGGATTATAAGATTAATATTATAGAGGGCAAGGAGGTTCCTTTTAGCCCTCTCTACAACCTTAGTAAACGAGAACTTGCTATATTGCGTAAGTACCTAGAGGAAAACCTAGCTAATAGTCGAATTCGGTATAGCAACAGCCCTGCTAGTACACCTATCCTATTCGTGCTAAAGAAGGATAGCGGCCTACGTTTATATATTAATTATAGAGGGCTTAATACTGTTACTATCAAAGACCGCTGTCTATTTCCGCTTATTAATAAGACTCTCGATCGCCTTTCTAGTGCCTACTACTACACTATATTAGATATTAAGGACGCCTATTACCGCATCCGTATTCGTAAGGGCGATAAATAGAAGACAGCCTTTCGCACTCGTTATAGCTATTTCGAGTACTTAGTTATGCTATTTAGGCTAGCTAACGCCCCTACAACATTCTAGTCCTATATTAATCGGGCCCTATTAGGCCTATTAGACTACCTCTATATAGTTTACCTAGATAATATCCTAGTTTATATACACTCCCCTAATATTGCGGAGCACTAAGCTATAGTCCGTAAGGTGCTCGATCGCCTACGAGCCTATAGCTTATATTACAAGCCTTCTAAATGTACCTTTGCTACTAAAGAGGTATTATTCCTCGGCTTCCTTATATTAACTAAGGGTGTTAAGGCTAATCCTAATCGGATTAAAACTATTACTAAATGGCCTATTCCTGCGTTAATTAAGGAGCTATAGTCGTTCCTCGGTTTTGCTAACTTCTATCGCCGATTTATTAAGGGCTATTCGAGGCATGTAATGCTACTAACTAAGCTTACTAAAACCAAGGCCAACCCGACTAGAGAGTTCAAATAGACTAATAGAGCACAAGCCGCTTTTAACGGTCTAAAGCGACGCTTTACTAAAGTCCCCTTATTACACTATTTCGTACTAAACAAGCAGATCCGAATTGAGACTAACGCTTCACAGTTCGCTATATCGGCTATTATGTCCTAGCAATTAGATAATGACTATTACTAGCACCCGATTGCCTTCTTCTCGCGGAAGATAATTAATGCTAAGCGTCGCTACGAGACCTACGAGTAAGAGCTCTTAGCTATTGTCGAGGCCTTTAAGTATTAGAGGCACTACCTCGATAGGGCCCAACATATAATACAGGTCTATATAGACTATAATAACCTCCGTAGAATCACGAAGGTTACTAGGGTTATAGGTCGACAGGCTAGATAGGCCGTCTACCTCGCCGGGTTCGATTTTAATATATTATATCGACTAGGCGTAAGTAACCCTACTAATAGCCTATCGAGGCGACCTGATTACGATAGCGGGACTTAGCAATCTATCAATTCATTATTTCTAACCCTATAGTATAAGATTGCTATAGCCCGTATTATTAATAGCAAGCGTAGGATAAGCGGCTTACTAGACTCCGCGACGGCTTAAAGCATATTAATACTCTTACTATATTAATAGTACGTATTAAGGCAAGGGCTAAGGACACAGATAGGAGAAGTTACGATAACTCCCTAGTCGATATCGCTATATATAGTAACAGCGATTAAAGCACTAATACAGTTAATCCGGCTGCTAGTGCTACTAGATGCATATAGTACGTACTACGTAAGACAGCGAGGGTGCTATTAAGCGAACTTATAGAAGGGGACGGACAAGCGTTTATAAATAAGCTGTTACGTACTTAGCAAAGGGACGCTTTTGCTGCTACTCGTATAGATTAGCTTAGAAGTAGCCGTAAGACTAGATCTAGCAAGAATTAGTCGATCGATACTAATAGCTATTTGCGCTATAAGGGCAGGCTCTATATCCCTACCGAGCATTCGATCCGATAAGAGCTTCTTAAGCGACACTATAATAGTAAGCTTGCCGGTTACTATAGTATAGAGAGGTCGCACGAGCTACTATCGCGCATATACTACTAGCTAAATAGTAAGCGGGATATAAAGGAATATATCGACACGTATGCCGTATACTAACGTATTAAGGCACTAAAGCATTAGCCTTTTAGCGAGTTATCCTTATTACCAATCCCTTATAAGCTATTTATAGAGCTTATAATAGACTTTATTATAGGTCTTCCCCCTACTAAGCGGAGAGGAAGCAAAGACATCTTTAACGCTATCCTAGTCGTTATAGACCGGTTTACTAAGGGCGCTCGCTATATCCCCGCTCGAAAGAACTAGACGGCTATTAACTTAGCTAAGTTACTATAGAATAATATCTTCTGCAGCTATTAGGGAACCCCTAAGGGGATAGTCTCTAACCGAGGCTTAACATTTATATCTTATTATTAAAGCGAAATATGCCTATAGCTAAGACTAAAGCATCGGCTATTAATAGCCTTCTACCTATAGACTAACGGTCAAATAGAGAGGCAGAATACTACCCTATAGTAGTACCTACGCAGCTATATTAACGAGAATCCTAACGACTAGGTTAACCTCCTACAACTAGCTAAATTCGTATATAATAACAGTGTCTACTTATTAACTAAGGTGTCCCTATATATAGCTATAATAGGCTAGAACGCTGCTATACTACAAGACCCCCTATCGCTCGAGGCCGAGCGTAAGGAAAGGGAAGCGCGTTAAGTACCAATACCTAAGACACTAGCAGCTATTAAGAGGGTTTAAAAGATGCGAGAGATTTACGCTAAGATAGCTAACAAACTAGCAAAGGCCTAGGCCTATTAGAAGGCCTATTATAACAAACACTATATACCGATAACCTTCAAGCAAGGCGATATAGTTATGCTAAGCACTAAGAACCTCCGCATCCGTAAGCACCTATTACCTAACGGCAAAACAAGGCCTAAGCTCGTACTAAGATACATTAGTCTATTCCGCATTCGAGAAGTTAAGGGCTCCTCCGTATAGGCCTATTAGTTGTAGCTTCCTCCTTATTATACTATCTATAACACCTTCTATATATCCCTCCTTAAGCTATATTACCTACGCGAGGGGGATAAAGCCCCTGCTAAATACGAAGACATACTAGCGGATAGTAAAGAGCTATAGTCTATAGAACGTATCCTAGATTATCGGACTAGGCAAGGCAAGAAGGAGTACCTCCTAAGATAGCAAGGCTATTTACCTAAATAGGACTCGTAGGAGGCCGAAGACTCGTTTAAAGATATAACTAAGTTGTTAGATAAGTACTAGACTAGTATAAAGAACAAGAAGAAGGCTAAGGGCCTATAATGTCGCCTAGGAATAATGCTACCCCTAGGGTGCTATTAGCTAACTAATTAGAGGCCGGCAAACTAGGATAATAAGACTATACTAGGCGCGCTACGACGCGTCAATTAATTAATCGCATTCTCTTTTAAGGGCTCTACCTCTTTACTAATACGCCCTATAAGGCCCTTCTCCTAGTATTTAGGTCCCCCTCTTAATCCTTTATTCTATCGAGGCCTCGAGGCCTAGGCAATCGGCGAGGACGGCGCGGCCGGCGCGGCTATATTAGTAACAGTGTTGCGGAGTGTATTGCTATTAAGAAAGGAAGGACATAGCTATATTAGTAACGGTGTTACTAAGTTATTGTTAGTTAAAGAAGGAAATTAGAAGCAAGGTAAAGTTAGCGCTAAGACGACTAGCGCCGCTACTATTAACGTTACCTGCTATTATTACCGTACCTGCGAAGACAACCTTACCTATACTACGAGCCTAAGGCACCTTTAATTAAAACTTTAATCAAAACTTTAAGGCTAAGTTAAAACTTTGAGCCGCTTAAAAGATTGAGTAGACTAATAGACTAACTAACTAAGGGCAAAAACTATAGAGCTAAGCTAGCCGGGGTCGATCTTACGGATAATAGGTTACTCCTCGATCTTTCCGACCCTTTAAGCGAGGCGAACCTTAACTATTGCACTTATAATAGCCTTTACCTATAGAAACTAGAAGAACTGAGTTTTTTGAAAAGATATAATTGTTTGATACTTAAAGGCTACTAAACCTAACTAATTAGGGCTAGTAAAACTACGATAGTAAATAATAGTCCTCGTAATAATAAGAACAATAACCCTCGGAAGCGGACAAACCCTCGGGAGCGGACATTGCTAGGTCTTTTAAGAGTAGACGCAAAGAACTCGGTACGACATTACTTAGAGCAGAGGCAGGGCTATAATACCTCGTACGTCTACCTATTATAGTAGGGAAGACGCGCTCGTATTATAATTAGTCGAAGGCCCTCAATTCTTATAGATATATATTACCTTATAGTTTATTATATATAGGGATAGCGTAGTTAGAGTTGGACATTATACTATATTAGAGGTAAGGTTTGACATAGTTATATAATCGGTAGTTATACGTTTAATTTAGCGCGGACTAAGCGGCCTATTAGGCCTACTAAGTTAGTAGCAATAGAGGTTAAGGCTAGAACAAAGACCGGCTACGAGGGCGCGGCCTTTAGAAGGGAAGCGTATATTAGGACTAAAGAGGTTATACGTAATTGGTATATAACCGGGCTCGAGTGAAGCTAGGGTCTTAATGCCTCAGGTAGGGCTTAGCGCTTAGTAATAGGCTAACTTGCCTACCTTCCTCCCTCTCCTCCTAGCTCCTTATCGAATACTACTTATACCTACTACTACCCTATCTACCTACTAACATAACCCTTCTTATAAGAAACTAAGGAGGTACTCCCTAAACTAATACTACTAACAATAGAAATAGTAACGACTAACGTAGAAGGGATAGGGGCCGATACCGCGGTAGAAACCTCTAGCGAGGAAGAGGATAAGGAAGGGGCTTATTTCTATATACCCCTAATCGTTTATCTAATTCTAGTACCAATTCGAGCGGACCTAGCAGTGCCCTAACTAGATACAAGTGCTTTAATTGTAATAGCACTACTTATTTACTAGGCTAATATAATAGACCTCGAGACTAGGCCCGAGTCGACCGTACTACCGCTAAGCACCGAAAGCACCTCTTAGTAGCTAACGCTACCCCTATAGGCTAACCTTCGAAAAAAGAATAAGCGCCGTACTAACTGTTAGCCTTGTGCGGCGTAAGACTATCGACATTGTACTAGCTATTATACGTACCTATCTCGTATCGGACATATATAGAACTAACTATAAGACTAAGGTTATACTAGATCTAGGAAATTCAGTTAGCGCCTTTATTAGCTATCGCCTAGCTAAGCAATTAGACCTTCGACAATTGCCTAGGACTAACCTACTAACCCTTGCTTAGTTTAATAACGCTCGGCACTTAACCTATAGGGCCTACTATATTCCTATAGTTCTAAAGGACGACCTCGGAAATAAACGCCTACTAGACTTTACTACCTATGCGGTAGATATAGACAGCCTCCCCTCCGATATTGTTATTAGCAACCCTATTCTTAAGTACTACGCTATAGTTATAGACCTAGGCCTTTAATAGTAGCGATTTAGAATCGCTAGGAAAGAGGACATTAAACACATTAATATTAGCGAGTGCCCTAACGATATTAGGGTCCTGTTTATTAGCAACTTAATACCCGCCTTAGCTAATCTAACTGCCGACCTGCTCGGTAGTAATAACGATAAACCTGTGCCCCCTAATAGTATAGACTCTAATTAGCTCGAGCGTATACTAGAGCCTATTCGGGAGACCTATATTAATGTATTCAAATACTACTTAGTATCGACATTACCTATATTCAAAGAGACGGATTATAAGATTAATATTATAGAGGGCAAAGAGGTTCCTTTTAGCCCCCTCTACAACCTTAGCGAACGAGAGCTTGCTATATTGCGTAAGTATCTAGAGGAAAACCTAGCTAATAGCCGGATACGGTATAGTAACAGCCCTACTAGCGCCCCTATCCTGTTCGTACTAAAGAAGGATAGTAGCCTACGCCTATATGTCGATTATCGTAGGCTTAATGCTATTACTATTAAAGACCGCTGTCTACTTCCTCTTATTAATAAGACCCTCGATCGCCTTTCTAGTACCTACTACTACACTATATTAGACATTAAGGACGCCTATTACCGCATTCGTATTCGTAAGGGCGATAAATAGAAGACAGCCTTTCGTACTCGCTATAGCTATTTCGAGTACTTAGTTATGCTATTCGGCTTAGCTAATGCCCCTGCAATATTCTAGTCCTATATTAATCGGGCCCTTTTAGGCCTATTAGACTACCTCTATATAGTTTACCTAGATAACATCCTAGTTTATATACACTCTCCTAACATTGCGGAGCACTAGGCTACAGTCCGTATTACGTAAGGTACTCGATCGCCTACGAGCCTATAGCTTATATTACAAGCCTTCTAAATGCACCTTTGCTACTAAAGAGGTATTATTCCTCGGCTTCCTTATATTAACTAAGGGTGTTAAGGCTGATCCTAATCGGATTAAAACTATTACTAAATAGCCTATTCCTACGTTAATTAAGGAGCTATAGTCGTTCCTCGGCTTCGCTAATTTCTATCGTCGCTTTATTAAGGGCTATTCGAGGCACGTAATACTACTAACTGAACTTACTAAAACTAAGGCTAACCCGACTAGAGAGTTTAAATAGACTAACAGAGTATAAGCCGCTTTTAACGGTTTAAAGCAACGCTTTACTAAAGTCCCCCTGCTATACTATTTCGTACTAAGCAAACCAATCCGCATTAAGACTAACGCTTTACAGTTTGCTGTTTTAGCTATTATGTCTTAGCAGTCGGGCAAGGACTACTATTAGCACCCGATTGCCTTCTTTTTACGAAAAATAATCGATATAGAGCGTCGCTACGAGACCTACGAGTAAGAGCTCCTAGCTATTGTCGAGGCCTTTAAGTATTAGAGGCACTACCTCGATAGGGCTTAATATACGATACAGGTCTATACAGACTATAACAACCTCCGTAGCATTACTAAGGTTACTAGGGTTATAGGTCGATAGGCTAGATAGGCCGTCTACCTCGCCGGGTTTGATTTTAATATATTATACCGGCTAGGCGTAAGTAACCCTACCGATAGCCTATCGAGGCGACCTAATTACGATAGCGAAACCTAATATATTAATTCTTTGTTTCTAACCCTATAGTATAAGATTGCTACAGCCCGTATTGTTAATAAGTACTCGTAGGATAAGCGGCTTACCGGACTCCGCGACGGCTTAAAGCATGTTAATGCTCTTGCTATATTAATAGTGCGTATTAAGGCAAGGGCTAAGGACACAGATAGGAGAAGTTATAATAGCTCCCTAGTCGATATTGCTATATATAGTAACAGCGATTAAAGCACTAATGCAGTTAATCCGGCTACTAGTACTATTAGATACATACAATGCGTACCTCGTTTAATAGCGAGGGTGCTATTAAATAACCTTATAAATAGGGATAGTCAATCGTTTATAGATAAGCTATTACGTACTTAGCAAAGGGACGCCTTTGCTACTAAACGCACCGACAAGCTTGTAAGTAGGCGAACGACTCGATCTAGTAAGAGTAACTAGTCGATCGATAACAAGGGTTACTTAAAGTTTAAAGGCAGATACTATGTCCCCGCTAAACAATCGATTAGATAAGAGCTTCTTAAGCGACACTATAATAGTGAGCTTGCCGGTTACTATAGTATAGAGAGGTCGTACGAGCTACTATCGCGCATATACTACTAGCTAAATAGTAAGCGGGATATAAAGGACTACGTAAATACGTGTGCCGTATATTAACGTATTAAGGTACTAAAGTATTAGCCTTTTAGCGAGTTGTCCTTATTACTAATCCCTTATAAGCCATTTGCAGAGCTTATAATAGACTTTATTATAGGCCTTCTACCTACTAAACGTAGGGGTAGTAAGGACATCTTCGATGCTATCCTTATTATAGTAGATCGGTTTACTAAAGGTGCTCGTTACATTCTAGCTCGGAAGGACTAGACTGCTATTAATATAGCAGAAGCGCTATAGAACAATATCTTCTATACCTATTAGGGGACCCCTAAGGGGATAGTCTCTAACCGAGGCTTAATATTTATATCTTATTATTAGAGCGAAATATGCCTATAGCTGAGACTAAAGCATCGGCTGTTAATAGCCTTCTATCTATAGACTAACGGTTAAATAGAGAGGCAGAATGCTACCCTATAGCAGTACCTACGTAGCTATATTAACGAGAAGCCTAACGACTAGGTTAACCTCCTGCAACTAGCTAAATTCGTGTACAATAACAGTGTCTATTTATTAACTAAGGTGTTACTATATATAGCTATAATAGGCTAGAACGCTGCTATACTATAAGACCCTCTATCGCTCGAGGCCGAGCGTAAGGAAAGGGAAGCGTATTAAGTACTAACCCCTAAAACACTAGCGGCTATTAAGAGGGTTCAAAAGATGCGAGAAATTCACGCTAAGATAGCTAACAAACTAGCAAAGGCCTAGGCCTATTAGAAGGCCTACTATAATAAACACTATACGCTAATAACCTTCAAGCAAGGCGATATAGTTATACTAAGCACTAAGAACCTCCGTATCCGTAAACATCTATTACCTAATAGCAAAACAAGGCCCAAGCTCGCACTAAGATATATTAGCCTATTCCGCATTCGAGAAGTTAAGGGCTCCTCCGTATAGGCCTACTAGCTATAGCTTCTACCTTATTACACTATCTATAACACCTTCTATATCTCCCTCCTTAAACTATACTACTAGCGCGAAGGCGATAAAGCGCCTACTAAGTTAGAAGAAGTCTTAGCTAATAGTAAAGAACTGTAGTCTATAGAACGTATCCTATAGCACCGGACTAGGAAAGGCAAGAAGGAGTACCTATTAAGATAGCAAGGCTATTTACTAGAATAGGACTTATAGGAAGCCGAAGACTCCTTTAAGGATATAACCGAGTTGTTAGATAAGTATTAGACTAGCGTAAAGAACAAGAAGAAGGCTAAAAGCTTATAATGTTACTATTAAGGCCTAGGATTAATGCTACCCCCGGGGTGCTATTAGCTAACTAATTAGAAGCAAGCAATTGTTAGTAATAAAGGACAATAAGACTACACTACTATAGTAAACGCGTACCGAGTGTTAACAAGCGCGCTATAACTGTTAACTAATCGCCTGCTCTTTTAAGGGATCTACCCCTTTACTAGCGCACGCAATAAGGCCCTTCTCTTAGCCCTTCTCTCGGTGTTTAGGTCCCCCTCTTAACCCTCTATTCTGTCGAGGCCTCGATGCCTAGGTAATCGGCGAGGACGGCGCGTGTGCGTAGAGGGTAATAATAATAACGACGGCGCGGCCGGCGCGACTATATTAGTAACGGTGTTATAGAGTATATTATTAGTTAAAGAAGAAGATTAGAAGCAAGGTAAAGTTAGCGCTAAGACGACTAGCGCCGCTATTATTAACATTACCTACTCGCTGCTATTGTTAATATTACTTGCTATTGTTACTACGCCTATAGACACAACCTTACCTATACTACGAGCCGGAGCGTACTATATCGGTTAAGTTAAAGGGATAGCTATATTAAAGGTTTAATCAAAACTTTAATTAAAACTTTAAGGCTAAGTTAGAATATTAAGGCTTAAAAGATTAAGTAGCTTAATAGACTAACCGACTAAGGGCAAAACTATAGAGCTAAGCTAGCCGGGGTCGATCTTGCGGATAATAGGTTACTCCTCGATCTTTCCGACTCTTTAAGCGAGGCGAACCTCTACTACTGCACTTATAATAGCCTTTACCTATAGAAACTAGAAGAACTGAGTTTTTTGAAAAGATATAATTAGTTAACACTTAAAGACTACTAAACCTAACTAATTTAGGCTAGTAAAACTACGATAGTAAATAATAGTCCTCGTAATAATAAGAACAACCCTCGGAAGCGGACAAACCCTCGAAGCGGACATTTCTAGGTCTGTTAGAGTAGACGTAAAGAACTCGTACGATATTACTTAGAACGGAGGCAGGGCTACAATACCTCGTACGTCTACCTATTATAGTAGGGAAGACGCGCTCGTATTATAATTAGTCGATAGTCCTTAATTCTTATAGATATATATTACTTTATAGTTTATTGTATATAGGGATAGCGCAGTTAGAGTTGTATATTATATTGTGTTAGAGGTGAGATTTGATATAGTTATATAATTAGGTAGTTAAGTGTTTAATTTAGCGCGGCTAAGTAGCTTATTAGACTTGCTAAGTCGGTAGTAATAGAGGTCGAGATTAGAATATAGACAGGCTACGAGGGCGCGGCCTTTAGAAGGGAAGCGTATATTAGGGCTAAAGAGGCTATACGTAATTAGTATATAATTAGGCCGAGTAAAGCTAGGGTCTTAGTACCTTAGGCAGGGCTTAGCGCTTGGCGTTAGGCTAACTAGCCTACCTTCCTCCTTCTCCTCCTAGTTCTCTATCGAATACTATACTAATTTACTACTACCCTATCTACCTGCTAACGTACCCTTCTTATAACTACTAATATATCTTATTATTGTTCCGGTACCTTTATCGATCTAATCTTCTATATAGGGAGGGTATAGTCTTGTCTATACTATACGCGATAATTGTTTTAGGCATATACTGTCTATCGATTCGGTAAAACTGTTTATATTAGTTAGAGGCTATACCTCGTTCTAAGATGTCCTAGAGATCTACTTGGACTTTTACTAAAGAAGGATCGCACGTGCAGTAGTCAAGAACACTAGAAACCCAACATAGGGCTTCCCAAGACCTGGATGTAGCCAGAATATAATTGCATGCCGTCTTGAGCCGCTTTGATGGCTGGAATGCCGGTAGACTTTTTTCCAAACCTCCAGGCATTTCGGTCTCAAATCCGGGACTCTAAGCTATCGCTATGAATCGAAGTCTTGCCTCAAAGTCTTTACTTTGCGAGCTCCATAGCGCCAGCAGCAGAATTTGACAGTCCAAAGGTGTGCCATCATCGTATCGCTGAACTTCATGCTGCCAGCTGGAGACTTGATCGCCTTCGCGGCCGTTCTTTCTGCATACCCATTGAAGCATCGCAGAGTCACTGCACCAAGTGTAGTGGATAATCAAGTTGCAAGACTATTTCAGCAGCATCAAGTCTAGCAAGAAAGGGACCAGCGAGAAACATCTTAGAACATTGCGGGGAACTCGTGGACCAGAACCAACTTGAGGATGCGATTTTGGAGACGAGGCTTTGGGAGAGTATCAAAGTGGTCCAAGCACGTGGAAGTAACCGATAAAAGTGATTATGAAGAAGTGGCTGTCCCTCATATCATAGCTGCGAAGAGAAAATAACGGAATTTTTAATAATAACAGCTCGCTCGTTGTGGTTGGTAGAGATGCGCTGGCGTTATGGATGCCGGAAGCAAATCATGAGTCGATCGTGGGCGACTTCATCTAGTCATGGTGACCAATGATTTATCCAAGTGGAAGTGGTGGAGCTATGTGCACACCTGGTCTGACTTTGAACATTCCGCATGCCTGTGCATGATGATTCGGGAAAGGTATCGAGGCAGGTTTGCTTGCTTGCTCGCCGATTAAACGGCAAGACCTGCTCATTCGAACATACTGCATACCATGAGGTGCAGAACTTCTTTTCCTGACGACTTGATCATTTATGGAACCCGCAGCAACTCGTTGGTGGAGACGGCTAACGTGAAGTCGTAGCTTTGGTAGAAGGGTGTTCAGTAAATGCTAAAGAGCTGCTTGATGGCCCCTCAAGCATGTTGATTCCAGTCTATCCTTCCGTGAGTGATCATGCTCGTGTGATTGCTATATATGTTCATCGCTCCCATCTCTCTCCAATATTGAGTCGGAATGTCACTCATCTCCAGCTCGGGCTTCGCGGCCGCGTTGGCTTTGGTATGCCGAGCCAATCACAGCTCGGACTTCTGAGTATCGTCATGGTCACGGTATTGCTGCTGCAATTGGAGCATCACCTTGAGGCTGAGAACAATGATATTTCGTCGATGAGCCATCGTGTAGCAATAGGCGAGACTTGATCAGTTGTCCAGTGAGGTTACCGCCAAGGCTAGATCGTATCGACAAGAATTGATTGACGGGTGGCGAATCGTGAGGGCAATCCTGCCAACCAGGCTTCCTGCGGTGCGTCGAACACTAACTACTGAGTAGGCGATGAAAGCCAGCGTAGGCATACTACGCCGTGTCTACATCAGCCTTTCCCCTTTCGACGACTCCACTTCTGGCTCGATCTACATCATCTTGAACACTCAGGACGAGAAAGAGCGCGATAGACTTACCGAGAAATAGCAGACCCATAAGCTCGAAAAGCTGAACTTCGTCGGCATTGTTGTAAGTCTCGCTCTCAAATGTTGCGAGCTGAATTCTCCGTCCAGTGCTCGGATCACCTCGAGAAGGGTGCGCTCCTAGCAAGCTGTCTCACTTCAACTGGGGATTGGCCGAACGTGCTTGGCAATGGCAGATCGCAGCTATGGACTGTCACGACATGTTGGTATGCCGGCATCGTTTGTGCTCTCTTCGCGGTCTTGACAGTCGCTCAGCAGGCGATGCGGTTGCATCGACTGGCCGCACACAGAGATGGCCTCGAGCGGATCCGGAGATGCATGGCTAGTCGTCGTCTCAGCCAGAACGGCCATGTGCTACCACATCGATGACGCGTGCACACTTGGCAAATTGGACCAGCCTTGTTGACTACGAGCGTTCTGTACATGGTAGTCGGGATGGGTCTCATGCTTTGGGTCGGAGCGCAAGAAGGACCTCTGAAGAAAGAATATGAGAAATGGTGGGATGGAAATGCAAAGGTTCGTGCGAGGTTCGCTTTCTGCAAGCTTCCATGATACTGAAGCCTCTCAGATGGCAGCGACTTGGACAATTATCCTTGGGTTCATGGTTGCAGCCTTTGTTGCCTCCCAACTTGGCTTGGCAGAGGATTGAGACATACGACCCCCGCAAGGGATGACTGTCTTGCAGAGGAAGTTCGATGCAGGGAAGGCTGAGAACCTTGTCTTTACCATCATATGCTTCAAAAAGCCTTTGACAGATTCGTGGCGGACCCGTTGATCGTTGAGACGACGAAAGCCGAAAGCGGACGAGGAGGTGAAACGCTTCCACGAAGCCCAGGATGACGATGTGTAGGATGAAGAGAGCGGCATCGCGTATTGGCAGCACTGCCTGGATTTTCCACAGCAAAGACTTTGTCGAGCTGAATCTCGCGACTCCGCCGAACTCCGAAGACCCGGGTCTGAGCTTCATTTGGGAGGGTTCGCAGTGTTGCCATAGAAGGAGGGGTTTGAAGCTCAGCCTGAGCCATGCACGTTCCATGCCGGCATGCCGCCTAGTGTCGCAAGCCACTCGCTCGACCATCATTGTGAATGCTTGCGGAAGGCCGCTTTTGTACTCAAGTAGTGGCCGGATTCGAAGTGACGAGCAGGAACTCTATGCTGGTAACTGGGAAGCTGCTGATAGACAGGCTCGCGAAATCGGAGCCGCAAAGATTGTAAGGGATGCAAAGAATCCATCATTTCGTGAGGATCACTATTCGAAGACACATGGACGTCCAGTGCAAGTCCCGTTCGACTCTCTTGTACACCAGAACGTGCTCTCTTGAGCCCTGTGCGGGCCTGACGTGCAAGTCTGAATGTTGAACATCCGGTTCCTGGGGTCGTGACAGCAATGATCCAAGAATCCCGAGTCAAGCTCACGCAGCCCAATCTCGTGATAATCTCAACGCATTTTCTACTGCCACAGACATCGTTCGCCATATCGCAAGGAGCTTCGAAACCCTTCGTTACTTCTTTGGGAAACAATGAACCTGGCACGGAAGTTTCAGTCGTACCAATGCTGCCAAGCAGTGCATCCTTTTGTCGCTGCTCCAGAACCGCGATAGGTTGACGCCAAACTGGGCACTGAAAGAGCAGACTCCGGCAAGCTCGGCGACGGAAGGTCTCCATCTGATGCTTCATCACACGGCAGTCTTCATCTCGATTCCTGATCCATTTGAGTGATATGCAGCTTGTCGATCGAGGAGAACAAGATTGGACAACCCTCTGATGATGACGCTGGTGCCCGCGTTGTCGACTTCATAGTATGCGGTCTCTGGCGGTCCATATTGCTTTCGTGGGAGGTAGAGCAAGCATGAGACCAATGTCAGAGAGCACCAGATAGACCGATGACCGACAAGGCCTGGCGATTATGACTTGCTTCGCGGGACTGGTAATGGCATTCCCGGCGGTATTTCTGAATGTGTAGGGTTCTGCAAGCTTCCTAGGCTGCGTATATCACTCATGCAGTATATGCTCCGCCATTGATGACCACAGGCTCCTCATTTGGCTGGTGTCGCGGGGCCATCTGTGCGGCTTCCACCTGCGCCAGTGTTTCGGTCAAGCAGTATTCTAGAGTAGATCCTCCAGCTCTTGCATGTCCTCCTGCATCGCTTCTATGGCCTTTTGTACATCGGCGCAGTTCTGACAGGCTCGGTTATCCTGTTCATGGATGTAGGGCTGTCTTCGTGTTTTGCTTTCTCCCGCGGAGGTATTGTGATACGCAGGCTGTTGCGGCGGTGCGACGTGCGACGCTGGAGTTTGGGTAGTGCTGAGCATTTTTGGATGTGTATGTTCGATGGCGATATGCAGGCAGGCGACGGTCGACGTGCCAGTGGAACCATTGGCGACGTTGCACAACATGAAGCCAGCCACGTTCGCATCACCACATCGTTGCATGTCTCCTCGAAATCATCCCACCTTCTTTTCAAGGCCGTGGATCTTCTGGACGATAGCACTCCATTCCTCAGAACGACCTTGACTGTGGCCTCTTCCGGTAATTCAGAAGACTGCGACAACAAGAGGCCCGCTTGATGTAGCGACAGGCGATATCTACCCTAGAGGTAGATAGCGAGAGCCCAAGGCGATGGAAGGCCTCTCGTACAGTTCAAATTGCCCTCGGTGCTGCGGAGAGGAAGCTCAAAAACTAGTAAAGAACAGAAACGCTCCGAGCACCCCTATTTGCTCGCCTTGGAGGACTCATCGGATGCCTACTACCTGTGGTTTGCATTAGGGATTCTTCATTCGATTCTTGAGTCTGATCCCATAATCACAGGTGAAGCTAGCACTACGCTCACTTTCCAACCGAAGGTCTTTCATACCAGTCGAATAACGATCGACGCTGTTTTTCGACACACTGAAGCATTCTGAGACTGGTCAAGACTCGGAGCAGCTTCACGCACAACATTGCGTAGAAGTCTGATCATAATCAATCATTCTGACCTCCACTCGGACCTTCTTGCACAATCGAGGCGTGAGAGCAGCAAGCTGCTTTCGGCGAAATGTAGTCTTTTCAATATTTGGTAGAAAAAGGAGATCAAGGAGCGACTCAGTAGAAGAAGAAATGAGTTCCATCGCACTTTGGAAGCTGAACACCAATCTCTTCGTGTGCAAATCAGCTGCAGGCTAGAAGTTTTTCATGTGACGTCGAAGACAGTGACTCAAGATTTTGATACGTGTACAAGCGTAGCATTTTCGATTTCCTTCTAGACGATCTATGAGAGTAAGAAAGCTCTAATAAAGCGACGAACCAGCTTAGACCACAATACCTCGGCCGTTATCAATGTGCTCTTATCAACAGCGCGGTCGTCTCGCTGTTGTCATGTCCCATCTCAAGAAGGTATACATCAAAGCAATCCACAATCATCATGAATTGAGCTCGCCCATCTCTCCCATCAATAGTCAAGATTGTACGCCCTCTACTCCTATCTGTCCAACATCTCCAGAGCAGCATAATATTCCTCCTCCAGCTGCCCGTAAAGCAAATCAACAATCACCTCCTGCGGCACATCAACGGAGCCTAACCGGGCACGACAGAAGGGACAATTGACATCTATCTCGATTCCGTAGATTTCTCTAGTGTCTCGGTTTATGAGGGCGAAACCGTCGGGAGAATTGCCATAGATGAAATACTCGGCCGTGATGTTGTCTGCTGTAGTGGTAGAGAGGTGTTCGAAGCACTAAGCGTGAAGAAATTGGCTGCATTAGTAGCATTTCTTGTCGAATGTAGGATTGATGTCGCCTTCAAGGCAGACGCCGCAAGTGTGTGGGGCTTCGTTGGCGAAGGGTTCATTGTTGTTTGGGTTGGTGTTCGTCAAGTCGATAACACTGGAGTTTTCATTCTAATAATGAGAGACAAGTATGTCAGCATCAAGCTCGCAAGCAAAAAGAAAGAAAGGTGAAATGGCATACTGGGATGCGGCCATAACGGACAAGAGTTCTCGTGATCCACAGATTGATCATGGCTTCACGCAATGCTGCTGCTGTCGCCTTACACGTGTCGCAGGCCAGGATCTCCCTCTTGCGCGGGAAGCCCTCATTGAGCCTCTTGCCTGAGCGACTGCGATTATGTGTGGCCGTGACCAAGAAGATCTGGGCTGTAGCCCTATCTCTCATGCTGATGGGTTGAATATGGTGGCCAAGGCAGTTTGGGCATCCATCGAATTCGATCTGGAGAGTGAATGTGATTTCTGCAGGAGAACAGAGATGGTGGAAACGAAGGCTGATAAGGTTTGTGGTCGACAGAGCGACTTGGACGTCGATAAAAGTCTGCAAAGCTCTACTTGTTAAGAATCAGCAGAGAAACGAGCAGTGTCTGCAATGTTTGACGGACAGGCAGAGCTGAGATGATCGAAGTGGTGAAGGTTTATTGGAAGGAAGCAGGCCATAATTATCCTGGTGCTGGCTGTTCCGGACCATAATGAATGTCATGGCCATGATCAATCATGATGAACTTGCGTCAGACTCCTGCTTCTTCCGATCGGGTATGCACACACAGCTGCAGGCGACGCTTGCTATCAAAGCCGCGATGCAGGGCCCCGAAGCTATTTTCCGCTCAGAATTGGGCGAACACTGGCCTAATTTCGATCACAGCAACATGGCTTCATCACCAGATCCGGTGCGTTCGTCCAGAAGCGTGCAAAACTTGCGATGGAAGCAAGTTGACTGACGTCCATCAAGCCAGAGTGAAATGGCGGGCATGCAAATGGCCGAAGGTGGCCTTCAGGCAGGTCGGATCGGATACATACAGATGGCCAAGTTGATCAAGCTGTAGGACGTACAGGTGGCATACTCAACGTCGAAAGACTGCAGGCAGCTGCCCGATACCGAAGTTTCATGGACGTCGATGATCATGAACCATGGGGATGGCGCATGATGATCATGTGATGCTCGGGGGACCACACTTTGTCAATGCAGAGAGAGAGAGAGAGAGAGCGCATCGACCATTGATGTAGGAGAAAGTAGCAGATACGTCCTTCTTGTTTCCAGAATGGTGCTTGTTGAATGGAGAGTATAGGTGGTCCTGTTGGACTCCAACTGCCTCTCATAGCAACTTGGGGCTACAAAAAGCTCGTTGGAGGTGTGGATACTGGCGCATATTGAGACCATAGTCAAAGATGCCGAGATTGTGGCAGCTCTAGCGTCTGCTGGTCAGGCTGAAGCTGGAATTCCCAACGCTTCTCCATAATCGATTACTTTGACTTTGACACGATCATCATTCTTCGGATGATGAAATCACTCATGCGACGGCATAGAATTCGATAACCAAATGCGTGGTCGGCCTGATTGAAATGCGAGATCATTTCCAACTAAAGAAGGTTGACATTACTCGGGCCAGCTTTCCACAGTATACAGATCTGTAGACGTTCCTAGAAGACTTTCCATTGCTGTAATCAATCCGAACTGTGCTCTAGCCGGCAGATTGATGCTGAAGATCTACCTTCTCGCTCCATAAGACGAGCCGCCAGACGGAGGGCTGCCTTTGCTTCAGGATGCCACCAGTGTTGTATTCATGTTGTGTACTGAATGTGCTTTGCAGCACTTCGAGCTTGCCTTCTCGATGTGTTTGAAGAGTTCAGCGCATGAGATGACAGTTTATCGCGGTCAGCGATGATTCTCTTACCAGATGGGAGGTAATGATGGAGAATGTGAGTTTGCTTGGATAGCTGACAGAATCTCGCGAAGATAGGACGATCGCACAACTGCACTACTTCATTGTTCTTCGGTCTTCCGGTAGGTCTGGGGTGTATGTGTTGTGTTTCGAGGCCACTGAGGGCTTCGGATGCATCTCATTCCCAGCAAGCGGAGCAGAGACATCAAGGGATCATTTGAAGGTGTGAGAGCGCTGTCGAAGGTCCCGGACACGGTAGTGCCACATTCGTGTGGAAAGCTTCGTAGATTGATGCGCGGTGTTCTGATATCCCATCGAGCAGAAGGAACATCAGGGTGCTCATATAAGGCTGCTAGGATGCCCATATCGCTTCATTGAGCGTCCTTTGCTATTCTTTGACGCTTTTGCATATCCGTGGTATTGCTCGAGCAGCTCGAAGTATTGTATCTGTAATCGGGATCTCTCCTCTTGTGCTCAGCCCAAATTTCATTCTTGGTTCCCAGCCATCCACCTCTTGACTTGTCCCAGGTACTCGCAGGAAGTTTCCAGATGAAACGACTGGTATTCGCCGGCTACGTCTTGCAAGGTGGACAGGTCCAAATTGATGTGTCGAAGCTTGAAGCGCGTAATGCGTGGATCGGATCGGAGCCGAGAGGTACCACCGCACCGCTCGTATGCAAGCACCTGTGGGTGTGTCGTCGCGATTATTGTGGCAGGGCAGGGCGGTAGGAGAGAGAGTATTGAAAGCAGTCGCGGAGCTCGGATGCGATGCGCGGGAACGGCGGGAACGGAACGAGAGACTCGACGCGAACTTCTCGCTCAGATGATCTCTTACTCTTCAACTCTGCGACACGCGACACGCGACAGACAGCAATGCGAATCGCTTCCCCAATCTACGCGAGTTCAGTATCGCACATGAAGACTCTTTCAGATGAAGACTCTTTCAAGATGAAGACGCCGATGCAGGCGAAGCTCAGCTCAGCTCAGCTCAGCTCGGAGAAAAAGACAGCAAAGCACAGCTCGTGGCAGACATGAACGCAAGCGGCACAAGAAGAAGAGATCAAGGCAGACGACAGTGCCGTTGGAGCATGTCATTCCCATCAGAATGGCGTATCAAAAGATGCAACACGGACATCGATCGTCACCGCTCAAGAGACCTTCCGAGGACGACATCTTCAGCACGTCCGCCTTGCGAAAGGTAGCAAGCTCGGCGTATCTGCGGCTCCTCAGCGCGCGAGTATACCGGGCAGAGAGGCTGTCTTCCTGTTCTTCTGTTGCGAAGCAGAACGGTCACTGTAAAGATCAAGACAACTCGTCGGGTCAAGCTGAGCTGAGCTTCAGCGCATCCCTCGATGCCTCTACATCCGCCGCAAGCTTGCATGCGTTTCATTTGACGTACTGCCGTGGGCCGGAATGGTCTTGTGGAACGAAAGGCATTTCCTGCCACTCAGACCCACAACCAGTCACGGAAAGTGACCTTGGAACCATTCACCGCTGTTCTCTCAAGACATTCGAAGTGCTCGTGTATCGCCAAAAGCGATCAGTTTCGAGAATGCTTCCTCCAGGCCGAATCTCATCCCAGAAACGCCTGGCGAACAGGCGGTACATGCAGTAGGATGTTGTTGCATCTTCGCCTACCATTGAGACGGATGAGGTCGCTAGTCTTCAGACGAGAATAACCTTATGCTTCACAGGAATTGACATGGCACAGCAAGTATCAAAGTCCCACAGGGACATACTGGCCAAGTATGTGATGCTTTTGGGATTGCTGGGCGTTATCGTGTAACTTGGAGTCACTCCAATGTGGGTTGGAGGTGTTTGAGGTTTCCCACTGAGATGATCCGTCGGGAAGAACAGCTACTGGATGCAGAGGAGCAACACCGGGTGATGGTGGAAAAGTATAGGGAGAAAGAAAGGAAGTTAGGCGGACGTTGTGCATGTGTGGACCGATTGGATGGGTACTTGAGGTCTTTCAAGAAGACTGCGGACGTGGCGGAGGGATTCGGTTTCCTCAAGCTTTGGGGGCATCCTTACGTGGATCCAGTGGCTGGATGTGAGTCGGCAAAGAAAGTGGGGAAGACAGAGTTAAACCTCAGTCTTGAGAACTGCAAGGAACTGGAGCACTGCTTCTGCCACATGTACACACGAGGGTACTTGCAGAAAAGAGGCAGATGGCCTCCCCTAGAGTTCACACCTCGGATCGGTGGGCCAACCCAACTGGAACTGCTCTACAAAAGACATCAACCTAGTTTGGCCTTCGGATTCACCCAGTATCCCTCCTCCGACTGGAACTATGCCAGATTCCTACCTCATGTATCTTTTGACTACGGAGAGGACATCTTGAGGTTGGTGGTGGACAAGTCTCTGTCTTACGAGAGGCAGCACTTTGACCACACCTGGAATACCAAGCTAGATTACAAACCGGAGCGGCCCAACACTTCCTCACGAGTCATGGAGGAGTTGATATCCCGTCCTGACTTGGATTTGGCCAGCATAGTGGAGCAGGTTGCTAAGAAGGACATTCCTTACAAGTGGCGCATTGTGACCGTTTGCCCCAAAGAGAGAGAGATGAAGCTTCAACCAAGAATGTTCTCCATGATGACGCTGGAGATGAGGCTGTTCTTTGTCTTGACCGAGCACAACATTGCGGAGGGTATTTTCAAAAGCTTACCGGAACAGACAATGACACTTTCCAGAACGGAGCTGCTTAACCTGTTCTTAAAGTCGACAGAAAAGACCGGTGCCTCCTGGGTTCGAGCAGTGCTCGGAATTGATTTTGAGAGATGGAACTTGTACTGGAGGAAGGAGGTAGTTCACCGGGTTGGCTTTAGAATGGACCAAATATACGGAACCGCTGGAGTCTTCTCGGTAGTCCATGACTTCTTTGAGTCGTCTCTCTGTATGTTGCGGATGCCAGACTACCCACCCGACAACCTGAACGAGATGAACCGGCGGGATCCTCCTGAAGGCCGAACTTTGTGGTACAATCACAAGGGAGGCTTCGAGGGAATAGCCCAAAAGCTCTGGACCACCTGCACCATTTGTCTTGTTCACATGGCACTGTGGCCTATGAATTTGTCCTACCGCATTATCGGACAAGGAGATAACCAGGTATGTCTCTTGAACATTTACATCCCAAGGAACACCTCCGAAAAGCAGCAGCAAGAACTAGTGAGAGGTACTGTACGTCGGGCGTCTCAGTCGATCTCGGTGATCGGGGCAAAGGTTGGTCAACAGGTCAAGCCTGAAGAGTGTATCTACTCCACCTGCTTTCTCATCTACGGCAAGGAGATGATACTCAACGGTGCATACTTACCTACCTGCTTGAAGGCCGTGTCCCGGATGTTTCCTTCCACCACCAGTGACGCACCTAGCCTATATGAGATGATGTCCAGCATCTCCTCTGGAGCGTCTGGTGCAACGGACCGGAGTGATTGGACCTACCCGGTGTATTACCTGTCCAAGGCAATTGAGTGCTTGACACTGTGTAGGGAGTACAAGCGGTCGCTGTTGCACGGAACCCGCTTGGCGGACCACCTTCGCTCCCTGTGTGGGCCTCAAGGTTTGGACGTTCCGTCGGGAGAGGGAGCAGCAAGGGAATTTGTTCGGTTGTCGTTGTCTATTCCCTCGAATTTGGGAGGGTTTCCTATTACCACCTTCCTAGAGATAATGTACAGGGGACACTCCGACCCCTTGTGTTCCTCCTTGATACATTTATGCTTGCTGGACCCTTTGGTTGCCGTAGAGAGATACAAGCAGGTATTGCTCAAGGGGTGGCTCTTCAAAGACAATCCTGATATAGAAGGGTTGGTGCAGGATCCGTATGCACTTCCTCTGCTTCAATACTCTGCTCCCTCGAGCAAAGTTGCTAACGCCACCTCTCAAATTCTCCCAGAGATAACTCAGAACCAGGTCTTCAGAGAGTTGTTGGAGAGATCCACGCGCACCGACAGGGAGGAGCTGATGGCCTACCTGAGGAGTATGCTACCCTACTACCCCAAGGTTGCCCACGACATTTACAAGTCTTCTCTAGTGGGACTTCGAGACTCATTCGCCAAGAGATTCTCGAATACACGAACCCTGTTGAACATAAGTAGGAGAGCTGGGGTTGACGTGACCCACACCTCACTAACGGCGGATTATGTATACTGTCAGCGTGTCCTGGACAACTTCGCTTATGTCTACAAGGTAGGGATCAACAGCCCTTCCTTTTCGCGAAGAGATTGCTATCGGGTAGCAGTGAAGCTGAGAAAAAGATGGACGGGGAATCATCTGGAGGGTGTCTCTACAGCTCATCCTTTGTGCGTAGGCGACTTCACCTGGACTCCCCAAACTGCTTGGGAAGACACTGGGAGACCTACTATCGTTCTCGTGGGATTGACGTCGGACAGTACCCTTACCACCACCACGCGCGGTCCGGTGTATCCTTACCTTGGCTCAGCAACCTCGGACAAGGCTGTGGAGAAGTGGGTAAAGCCGGTCAATACATCTCCTCCACTTCGGGATGTGTTGAGACTCTTGTCCATCCGGGAGATAATGACGAAACCGAACTCCTCCACCTATGCCATGCTCACTAGTTTGGCACAATCCCGGTCTCACCTGGATGTGGAAGACTTGACCCAGATTCTTCGGGTGAGGATAGGAGGTTGTGTCGGTCACAGGTATCAGACTCGGGATAATCCTAAAGGATCTTACTGGAATGGATGCTTTAACTTCCAAACTCACGTCACTTACTCCACTAACCTGTCTAGAGAGATAGGCACCACCGATTACCCATTTGATTTCCAAGAGGCAATGTTGAGCATGGCGAGCTTGGCCTGCTGGCACTACTCTTAACACTTCCACTCTCCTCCGTAGGGGCTGGTGATGGAATGTGACCTATCTCGTTTAGATCCGATATCCGACCACATCATTGCCTCTGAAGTGACCCCGCCTTCTTTCTCAGCGGGTACCGGAAATTATTACACTAGCGTGATGGCTCTTACACTGTCCAAGAACGCAGAGTCTTCTGCCCGACTACAAGGAAACAGGCTGAAGCTTCCCTAGGCGGAGGGAGAATCTTCCATAGTTTCCGCCGCCTCTATTCTCTTCTTAGAGCAGTTTCGAAAGGGCAATCCTGTTACCACCCGCATGGGGAGAACGTTCGGAGTTCCCCAATCTCAACGAGTGATAGACTTGCCTAAGGGGAATCGAATCACAACCTAAGAGACTTTAGATGCGGTAGCCCGAGCAATCTGGCTCCGTGTAGGATACCAGTTTTGCCTTAGTTGTGGGAGAGGCCCACGAGGCGCACAGAGAAGGGCTTTGGATCTTCTTGACTTTGAGATCCGCAGAAGTGTACCCTCTCTCCTTGGAACTCTGAGGGAAGTTGACTACCAGCGGGCAACTATGGGGTTGAGCGTAGGTGTTGGAAAGGGCGCCGAGGACAAGGCCCTAGGTGCTTGGATGTACCAGGTCTTTTCCACATGTAAGAGAGGAACTCCCGAAGCCCCCTTCCCCATATTCACCCAAGGTTTAGCCAGCGTGTCATCCAGTCTCACCTACTACTTTGGCGTGATTGCTGCAAGGGAGTGTCTCAGCCAAGATTCCCAAAGGGTTAGAAGCGGATATGAGCTTGCCAAGATGTGTTAGAAGATCTTGGAGGAGGGAGATGAGCTAACTCGGATCCGTTTGTTTGGTGCAGTCATTGCTGCAACCAATATACAACACTTGTTTGTGGTAGCCAATATCTCCCCGCAAGCCAGATTGAGGACTTTGAGAGGAAGGGAGGGCGATGTACTAGGGAAGCCTATTATCTCTGTACAGACTTAGTCTATCTACACTCCGCCAGAATCGATACCTCGGCACACCGGCGGGTCGGCGCGACTCAGCTTTCTTAAGTATAGACTGCCACCTCTTACCTTGTTAGAATCCTAGTGCAACCGACCGGTGGGCTTTTCGGCGTCCAGTCTAGTATAGGCTCCTCTAGCTAGCTTGTACGCGGATATACAACGAGTATTGTTAATAGGGCCCGGGAATAGCTCGATTAGCTCTATAGATTTCTTCTTTAATGTCGCCGTTAAGGAATGCGGTCTTAATGTCTATCTAGTAATAGTGCTAATTCTTTCTAGCGGCGATAGTAAAGAATAGTTTATACGAGGGTAGCTTAATAATAGACGCGAAGGTCTCGTTAAAATCAATCCCGTAGATTTACTAAAAGCCTCGTACTATAAAGCGTGCTTTATATCGGACTATAGAGCTATTAGGGCCTAGTTTCCGCTTTAGTACCTATCTCCCTAAAAGCGGTCTTTAATAGGTAGGTCGAGTTACTACCTTCTAGGTATAATTCTCAATTAAGCTATCGTATTCTTCTTTAACTGCTTACTCCTACTAAGCCGCTTCCGGCGATCGTTTCGTAGTAGCTAGGGTACGAGGTTCCGGATCGAGTATGCCGTTTTCGGCGTATAGTAGGTATTTATACCCTCGGCGTAGTTTACCTTTATCTCCTAGTAGGCAGATAGCGGTTGCAAGCTTAGGTTTTTGCGGTATTATACGGCAGTTTCCCCCTTTAACCGGACCGAAGTTAAGTAAACTTAGTTTAGTTACTAGATTTGCCGCCTGCCCGTTATTACTTGTATAGTTATCTTCTAACTTCTTCCGTTTTTTGCCTAAGACCTATAGAATACCTTATACTTTAGCCTCGTCTTCGGAGAGGATGATTCTATAGACCTCTATAGCTCTAGAGGGATAATCCCTCTTATAAATATTCCGGTAGGGGTCTTAGTTTCTTCTTTCTACGTATATATTGTAGGGGAAGTTATAATCCGAATTGATTTCCTTATTCTTATTTAATAGTTTTGTATAGTATTCGTAGCACTTATCTCTAACTATTAGTACTAATTCCTAACTAGGCTTCTATTAAAGGTAATATCTGTTTCGAATAATCGGATATATATATATATATCTATTAGTAGTATATTCGTTATACGGATATTGTCGGTTGCAAGTTCCTACTCGGTTTTCGTATCTTATATATCTTAGGCCTAGAGGTTCTTAGTTCTAAGGTATATATTTCCTAATAGGGTCTTTTAGCTTAGAGCAGGTATTATATAGGTAGTTTCTATTATATATAAGTACTTGCTTAAGGTATCGTTTGCATTTTTATTCCCTCGGAACTCCTTTTTAGCTACCGATTTTTCCTTCGCCCTAATTTACGCATTTTCGACCGTATTTAATATATATTAAGCAAGGGTAGTCTTCTAAGTAAGGAAATTGCTTATTATATACTAGTCTCTAGGAGAAGTAGCTTTAATATTTATCCTTCTTGCCGGATTAAGGTTTAACGAACTTCTACGTTTATAGCTTATATAGGTAGACGTTATATCGTACGTAGTAGTAATATAGTCTTTCCTCGGAGTATATATAGTTCGATATATAGTAGAAGGTATACCTTTCTTCCTTCGGTATTTTCTTTCCTTTAGGAGGAAGTACTTCGTTATCCTTAGGTATTAGAGCTTGCGATATAGAGTTTTAGGGGATGTAACTCGATCTACTATTAGTATATACCGTATAGGGTCTTAATTCTTCGTATTAAAGCTTCCTTTTAAAGTATCGTTAGTATTTAAAGTTATCCGGTTTTAAGCTACGGATACCTTACGTAGTAAGGGAAGGTATTATTTCTATTCGATATCGGATAGATAGGTCTTCGTTTCCTTCCTTTATTCGGTAGGTCTTTATATAATTTCCGAGGCTACTAAACGACTTATAGTAGTATAGATAGTCTTTATAGACTAGCTTCCGTTTCTTTCTTTCTACTATTTGCGCGAAGAAGTTAGATCTAGTACTAGTATTAAGTACTTCTCGTTAAAGCTCGTCGATATCTCTAAAGAGTTCTTTATCTTCTTAAAGAGCTCCTTCTAGCCGGTTTCGAGGGGCGCTATTCTTATCGAACTCGTCCTTATATCTACGCTAGTTAAACTCGGTATTATCGTCTTTACTTTCTCCGGTAAAGATAGATTCCTATTATTATACCGGCTAAATCTAGGACGGTTATTAAGGGGTACGCTCCTAAGGAGGAGGTATAGAGTTATAGAGATCTTCTTCTTCCTCTACCCCCTCTATATTATTTCGAGGTATAGCGTCTTCTACTCTAACGTCGGACTCTTCGTTATTATCCGAGTCGTTCGAGTCCGAGTCTCTTTTAGAGACTCTTTAATTAGATACCGATCTACCTTACTTATTATTCCCGTTATTATCGGACGAGTCTAAATCTAAGGTAGGGCTATCGCTTATATTTCTATTAAGTTCCGGTAAGGGAGGCCTTTTAGGCTCCTCTCTCCCTTCTTTAGGTAGCTAGTTATTGTCGATACCGTCGTTAATCTACGTATTAGCGTTCCTTTTAACTCTCTATTAATCTAGATCCTAAATAAGATATACTAACTCTACTATATTACCG